GTGTTAACGCCGAAATCGGCGTAGGACAGTCGAAATGACTTTTATTGATAACACGATATTCCGGCACTTTATCCATCCTATGTAGTTTATCGCACAAAAAACAAATAAATTCACGATCAGAATCTTTTTTATGATCTGTTTCCTTTAACTTGTTTATGAGCTTGACATTTGATATAACTCCTTTTGTTTTGTGTTGTAGATATACTTCGTAAAGATCATCATCTCGCATTAATTCGTCAATATGCGCACTCAATAACTTTGGTGTTGGAAAATCCTGAAGCAGTATGGCAGATTTTGTATTTGGAAGCCATTCTCTTATCGTAGGACACCCAAAGTAAATGGGTACCACGCCGACGACTATTGCTCGCCAAAACTTCTCTGTCAAATAATCCTCACAAACACAATTCTCTATTGCTATAACAAATTTGTATCTAGCCATAAATTCAAGTAAACTTTCTGATAGTAAATCATGAAGATAGTCACCTCCTAATTTTTCTGGAATTTTCTTATTGTTTAAGCAAGGACCGTAGGAGTCTACTTTCTGAAACTTCATTAGTTTTTTAACATAAATTTCTCTCATAGACAAACTACCGCAATTTGTTTGTAAAAACATGATTGGTGCTATTTCTTCTAGAAACCTATTCTTTTTAGAAGTTTTAACAAAATATTTTGTATTTGTTATATTATCCAAATTTGGTAGATGCCTATACAATGGCACATCACTGTATCTACTAAATGTACTGGAATAATTGAATAATTTCAAAACAGTTTCATGCAGAAATAACATATCCTTCGGTGATTCTGGAAGTATTGCGGCCCATAAAACATGATTAGGATATCTGGGTAAAGGTAAATCAGAAAAATCTATGCTCAGTAGATGAAACAAGTATGCTCCCAATCTGTCTGGTGGTACTCTTTGTGGAAATACCGTCGCGTTGCATTTTATTGTCCCGCAACTTATTATTTTCGGCCTTTGATCGGGTTTAGAACTAAGTCTATCCCATCGAACTATCACTGGGATCTCATCCATTTTGCAACTTTTGTCCCTTGTGTAGCAAGTTTGATCTTTCAAAGTCTGTCTAGACAAAGATAATTGCGATGACATAAATTCTGGTTTCACAATATAATAATACATTTCTTCATCCACTTTGTTCGCACAAAATATTAGAAGTAAGTATATTCCCAAGAAAATCACCAATAACCACTCTGTTACATGAAAAATCATCAGTCCTTGTTCTTTATTAAGTATGTATCTATGTCACAACGTACGTTTTAGTCAATGATTTTATATTTAACTTTCGACCTACCGTTATGCACTACCTACCTAAAATGTTTCTACCATTTAAATAATTATTAAAACCATAGATGACAAACATATTTATAAAATTAACTAAGTATGACTAAGTAGGTCACTTGTTATAATTCTTCTTTTTATTACTTATTGGTGATGCCTTTCTTAGTATTTAGCCAGCGTCAGGCTTGTAATTCAATACAATTTTGGTAGATTTTTGCTTCTATCCCACTGAGGCTTAGACTATGGAAACTAAAGGACATATTACGTTGACATATATAAATCAGACGTTATATGTATATGATGCATTTCGACGTCGAAAACATAAACATGTTATTGTCTTTGTTTAACTATTACATGCCGTCTTAAGCCAAAAGAGATAGCATTACATTGGTCTGTGTCAAACACGGGAATCGAAAATACGTAACGTCATCTTAAATGCCAACCATGTCCATTTCGCAGTACATGAGGTACACGATACCGTTATCAAAGGAAAGTATATCAAATGTCAAAACAAATGTTTTCCAAATGTACTATTGAATTATTCGCATGTATTATAATTAAATTGGACAAAAATATTGACAGTGAGAATAATTAGGTATTAATGAAAATGCGACGCTGCAGCATTAAGGGATGTGGCTTTAGAAAAAGTGCAAATCAATCGAATGTTACATTGCACAGGTATGTGTTATTTTTTTGTCTATAAATCACACAATAGCCCAAACATTTCATGTAATTAGACTTATGTACGTAGTTTATTTATAAATCTTGCCAAATTTTGCTTTTGTTACTTTAGATTGCCTGTTTGTTTATATATTTTGATGATTGTTGTTAACGATTATTTTGAGATAGTGTTGATCTTGTAAGCATACATATTATCGATATTCTGATATTAAAACAATTCACTACGAGGTTTTTATTGTTTTATTATTATTATTTTTATTATTTCATGTTTTCCTAGAAATGAAAAAAGGAACAAAGAATGGTTGAAAATCATACCGCCGTATAATAGTGCCGAATATAAACATTGAATCATAGACCATTTTCATTTGTTCGCTTCATTTTGAAGAGTCAAATTTTAACATAACTTTGAATATAACTAGATTACATGATAATTCAATTCCATCATTAGGTGTATTGGTAAATATTTTTATATTTAATTTAGATTAAACAAGACTCATTTACTAGGCATTCTCAGTTCCTGAAAACAAAATTATCCACTCGTTTCCGATTTTTTCCTACTGACAACTCTGACTACTAAAAATTCTTATTTTATAAAGCCAGCAATACAATGACCATGTTGGTCCAACGTTGCCGGGAGAAGGTCAATACCAACCAATATTGGCCTTCTCCCGGCAAGGCAAATCGTTCGGTGTCACTCGCCTAGCTGACCGAGTGAAGGCGAGCGCTAACGTGTTCGTTTGACGTGGCTTGTCGCAACTTGCAATCGCTCGTGACTACTTGTCTCACGTCGTAGAAGTGTTGATTTTTCTGTACAAATCAAAGGCGTTCGGCTAATAGTAGCAATTCACATTGTATAATCAGACCTTTGCATGCTATTTAATACATGCGAAACATGTTTATACTAATACTGTGTCTTGGTACATCTCCTGTTATACCATGTTTTAAGCAAATAAACGTATGATAATAATATTATTATAGGAAATGAAATTATGTTTCCGGATTTAAATCGCGTATACGCGTATACGCGATTTAAATCCGGAAAAATAGTTTTATTTCCTATGTATAACAATCGCGAAAACCTAAGAACTCGAAATAATATTATTATTGATAATATTACTACTTTCATTTATTTCCAAAATTAAATGGAAGTATTAAAGATTTACTTAAATCAGTCACTGATATTAATTCTATACCAATGCATAAATACAAAAAAGCCTACATTATTTGGAATCTGTTTTAAAATTTCTCCATGAAAATATTAATCTTGAGGTTGGAAATGTATAGGAGTTATATTTCAAAGTTTTCTCTTTTTTATATACTCTCAGATTACATTTTTTGTGCAAATTCACTTTTCGTAATATTTGAGATTTGTAAACGCAAAACAATAAATTCAAAATTTCATGTGACATTCCCGGATATTCCCATTTAACCTAAAATATTCCCAAATGGAATATTGTTCTACTTTAATTAAATGTTTGCATGTCGATAATGACTTATCGATAGATTATGGTACGACACTAAAGAAATCCGCCATTTGTACGTTCAATTTTTGTTTAGGTATGCACGTTCATTCCGTAGTTAGGGCACCTCCTTTCTTTTATTTTTTTTCCATCCTCAAAGCACTGAGGACTATTCTGCCCATAGATTTAGTATATATCTGTGATTCTGCCAGTATCCGCATAGTTTAGTAGCTTTATATGATTAATATAAAAATTATGACGATCATCGCCCAGTGTCAGTAAAAACGCCAATTGATATTTTTTCCAGACTTGTAAAAATTATTTACATAAAAATTGTGGCGAATGTCGCCAATGTCAAATTTTAATCCGTTTTAAGCTGCCCCTGTTAAAAGGTATGTACCTTCTTCTTGTTAGAGTTTGAGCATGATGTTCAATTCAATGAAACTCAAAGGTCATAAAGAAGAAATATGTTTAAATGTCATGTTTAAATATAACTTCTCAAAAAAATGTCGGATAAATATAAGGAGTGATAGCAAAATGTATTTACAATTTTATTTATAAATAGTATTATATTAGCAAAGTGTAGTAAATTCTTCAACTATAAGTTCTAAGTCTTCTCCCCTATTTGACACAACTTGATAATCGAGAAAACGAGGTTGTCCAATAGGTTTTTTGAGTCCATGTTATTCAATATTTTGTTTTCCGAACTGTAAATAGGGAGACGGAAAAAGTATCGATACTTTTTGATATCGAGTACTTTTCCCTCCGATACATATACTTTTGTACTCGTTACTTTTCATTCGATACTTTTCAGGTATTAGTACTGTTTGACAAGTATTGCATCTTTTCAAATAATCCCTACTTAGGACACCTCATATAGACTATGGAAACCAATGTCCATCCTCTAAGATCAAAACCGAGAAACAGACCGCCACCAAATTGATTTTTGTTTGTTTTTAAGTGATTGTATAGAGGAGTGGGAAATTGGAAAAAGTAACACAAATTATGTGAAATGACGGTTGATTGAATTGATTGAATTAATCAATTTTTTTTATTATTTGTTTTAATTAAAGACATAAATCAATAAAAAAGACAAATTCATTGCCTTTAAGTAGGGAAAATCTACAGGACAAAAGTATCTGTAGGTATATATACCTCAAGGTACGATACTTTTGTGAGTACTATACTTTTTATACAATACTACTCATGAGTACAGTATCGATAATTTGATTCGAACTGTGTCTCTAACCATGTAAAAGTAGTTCGACCTCTATTCACAATTTTCCAGAAAAAACGGTAGAATCTGTCATGTATTTTGACAACACTAATAAATACGTTCGAATACTAAAATTCTATAAAAACACATTAGTAAATAAATGGTTTATGTGTTCAATGTCGATAAATTGACGATTGTATACAAGTCATGACCGGACATTTTATTTATAATTTTAATTAAGCTCAAAAATACTTGTTATTATTGAACACTGCAAAGCTAAAAAAACGAAATGTCATTGTCCTGTCAAGCACATAATTGACAGATGTCATAACCAAAATACGTATGACCCACGTGTTTTGTACCCGAAAATTAAAAACTGATTTTTATTTTATAAAAGTACTATTTTAACAATGGTATCTGTAAAACAAGTAGTACCAAAACACCCAAAGGTGAAAAACATAAAGAAAACCTCCAAAGTTGAGAAAGTAAAGAAAACAAACTTAGTAAAAGAAGGTGTTGAAGAACAATGCATGCAACAAAAACTTCATAAAGTAGTGCCTCAAACAGCTGTACTTAAGCCAGTAGTTAAGAAGAAAGTTAAATATGCCATGCCATCAAAAAGCATTACAGAAAACCTCGTCACTTCATGTCTAAACGCATTACAACAGTTGGCTGTCCATTACCAAAAAAAGAACACGATTTTCGAAGATGAAACGCCGATCTTTGCGGAAATTAAATGTATTAAAATCCAGAACTCTAAGGGGGCCATAAAATTGTAAGTAATTACATATTTTAGTTTGTTCGTCTTTATTTGCGATGACCTATTACACTATTGCAATTTGAACCCTCACACACATAGGGTTCCTATATAAACGGGTACGTTTACGGTTCATTAAATTAGAGCAGAACATACAATACAGTTCCAGCATCATGTGACAATATATTTTCTTGTGTTCTGGTAGTGCATTGTTTATTTGGTAATTGGGCAGACACAACTGTTGAACCCTGTACAAACACAGCTAAGTTTGAGCTTTGATTAACCTTCCTGTATCTGCGCCAAATAGTGTAGCACATATACATGCACACTGTCTGCGAGACCAAGTTGTTCGAGGGCCATTTTAGTATGTTGTTTAGTCAAATATCATCTTAAATTAAGTTTAATATTAAAAGCAAATGTGTAAAATTGTATACAAAATGTTTCTTTTTTTATTAGAGATAAACAATCTATTTAACAGCCATTGGTAAGTTACAATATTCTTAAGAGCCACAAAAACTTGAATTAAAATATATGTTTTATAGTATCTAAAGTATATGTTTTATAAAAAAATGTCTGAAATGTCAAAGAGTAATATATAAAATTTTCAAAACCATAAACTAAATGGCATGCGGCATACAAAAATATATCTTGCTCAAAAATACTTCTAACTGTCATTGATGGAGCATTTTTTACCACTTAATTTGACTATCTTTGCCTAGGTAGTAGACTAGTAACTTCTCACTTTCAGAACTATCTCCTGCTTGCATGCAGCTAGCAGCTACCACATAAACAAACACATTACAACCATTTATTTTCATAGAAAGTATTTGATATCAATACTGCACCTTAAGAGGGTTATGTAGCTACCCCATAAAATAATAATAATAATAATTTGTATTTCATAAACAAACCAGCATGAAATAAATTAGTGGAAAAATAATTTGTTTCCTTATTATTATTAAATGTAAATCAATTCTTTGCTTTAAAAGTGAAATGACACTTGCACTTAGTCTACAAAAACTAATCATGATGTATTCCTGACTGCTCGTTTTAATGTGTGCATGCGGTTTGTATCAATTGAGGATGTGGGTGTAAGGGGAAAACAAAATAAATTACCAATACAATTAATATTTTTTAGTAACACCTAATTTGCTTTGGTACTGGTTTCACTCTCCATTTTTCAACCAACTTCAAAAAGGGAGAAGGTTCTCAATTCAACTGTGTTTATTTTTTTGTATGGATGTTACACAATTACTCTGGCATTTGTGAATCTATTTTGATGATTCTTTTTCGTTGGAAAGAAGGCACCTCAGTAATGGTCCCATTTAATTTTGAAGAAAATATTCCACCTCTTAAGCGTGGTAAACTAGGTGATGAATCCGGTCTCGCGCACTTTCCAGTAATCTATTTCTATAAAATTTGAAATAGATGCAAATAGATGTAATTCCATGAATTTTTGAGGTCAGTTTTCTTTTTATTAAAAAAGTTGTAATTATTGTTGTATTGTAGTATACTGCCACACAGCACAGTAGCGACAACAGGTGAGATATGTCTTATTACACCAGACTTAAAGAAAGGGAGAAAAGTTGACCATGAACCCACTGTTGACCACTGGGAAGATAAACTCAAGGCTGCTGGAGTTAGTGCTGTGAGTATAGGTCAATTTGAATCTCAAATCATCATTTCTTTAAATTCCTTTACTACAAAGAGATAACTTACACATAATTTTATAAACCACTGTTCAGAATATTTAACAAGCCTACAATAAGTAACAGATATCATTCTTTTAGGATATCATTATAGTCTGCTGTACAAGTTCAATATCTTTACACATAATTTTAGTAAGATATACATTACTCAAAACCAAATAACCAAATTATGATGTTTAATTGTTTCACAAATATTTAAATTTTTAAATAAATTTTTTAAATGTTTTTTCCAGGTAAAAACAGTCCTCCCGATGCGACAGCTCAGAGTAGAATATGACCAGTATGAGCTAAAACGCCGCCTTCTGACTCAACATGACTTCATATTGGTCGACACTAGGGTGCTAAATCATGTGTCACACTTATTAGGCAAAATATTCTTCAAAAAACACAACATGCTTATTCCAGTCAGAATTAATGAAAAAGGAAACCTAAAGAAGGACATTGATATTGGTTTAAGAACTGCCATGCTACGGTTGAATGAAGGGGCTACATCTGCTATATTGATTGGACACACAGGAATGAAACTAACGCACTTGAAAGAAAATATAATGGCATTGGTTAAACAGTTACAGGAAAAGTATCCAGGTGGAGAGGCAAATATTAGATCCATTTCTTTAAAGTTTCCTTTATCATTGTCTCTACCCTTGTACCTAACATTACGTAAGTATATTATTATGATTCTTTTTATCATTGATTGCTTTAAAATAAATACTAATTTGTTTTTAAACATTAATTTTATAAGTATTGAAGCAAATAAAAGGGGAAGTGGTTGTTGTTTTTTATTTAGAATAATAATTATATGAATTTCAGGGTCATCTAGTGTAGTGACTGCGCCAAAACTAAAGCATAAAAAACCTAAACATTTCACAGTAGTGGAAGATGAACTATCAACCATTCTTGGTAGCACTGTACGTGTGGCTCCTGATGGCACAGTGCATGTTAAGAAATCCAAGGATAGCCTAAGGTAACTAAACATTTGTCTTATTCTGATAGTTTTATCGCTTGTTTTGTAAGTCTTGTAAAAGATTCCAATTTTCTATTCGTCTAACTTAGGACTGGAGTATTGTATAATAATATTCTATATAGACTGATTAAATTATTATTTTTGTTTCAGTGATGAGGAAAATATGGATCATGATGGGGATAATGAAGAAGCTGAACAGAAAAATGATTCAGGCAATGATGAATAATGAATAAGGCTCCTTATTTCAAATAAATGTAATTATCAAATTATAAACATAATGACTATTAATTATATTTCAGCACTGTAATTATTACCAATGTCAAAACGAAAGTTCAAAGTATACTTAACATAAACTCTAAGGAATGCTATTCAATAGCTCAGCGATTCAGCAACAACATCGGGCACAACAATGCTCATGGAAGATTTTGGAATTACAGTAACTTGCATTTTCACAGGCCATACTTTCTTGAATTTCTTAAAGTTTCTCTGTTGACTGTTTTGATCTTCAACTTGCAATGGCTCTTTCTTAACAATCAAATCTTTTCTCACTTTGAGAACTACCTCACCCAAATCAAGATTTTTCATCTGTCCATCCAGATCAGATTCTTCCTTTTTTATTTTCTGAACATCAAAGTCTAGCTTTGTATTGCTCTCCATTAACTCTTTAAGCTTTGATCCTCTCATTGCCACTATATCAATCTTCTCATCCACTATTTTATTTTTAGGACCTTGCAACAGAGGCTCTTCATCCTGGTCCATTTTATTGGCATTCTTTGAATAAAATAATGCGTTGGTCTTATCTCTTGCAGTTTTTGCATTGTCTTGAACAAAATTAAACAAATCTTCTTCATCATTTGCTGAAATGTCTTGTTTCTTTTGTAATGGTTTAGTAAAATTGAGTTTCTTTGTAGAACTATGTTGGTTTGTATTATTTACGAAATTGAAATCTTCATCCTCATTATCAACTGCCAGTCTCTTTGTGGGTTGTATGTTACTTTCATCATCGGGTAACTTTCTCTTAGCACAATCATTGTTGGAATCTGCCTTAGTACTCTCAGTGGCAAACTTTTTATTAGAGTTAGTCTCAAAGTTATCATCATCACTCAGTTTCCTTTTGAATCCTGGCAATGTTTCATTTATCACAACATTTTGATTTTTATGGTTCAGCTTTTGAGTAGGTTCCTGACTTTCATGAGCCAATACATTTGCAGGTTTTCCATTTTTGTCATTAGTCTGTTTCATGACTTCAGAAGGGAAGTTAAAACCTGGATTGCAATATTTTTCAGTTGAACAATACAGAATGGCTAATCCTATTTCGGCATCAGCAATAATTCTTTTTCCATTGTTCTTCATATAGTTGATTATATCATTGATTTGGTCTCTCTGTGCTTGTGTCTCCTGGGAAGTGCTGGTGATATTGTACTGTATCACAATTATGTTTGGTTCACAAAGAGCAGACTTTGTCATTTTAGTGTCACTTAGCAGCAAAGGTATAGCAGAACACTTGACCAGGACAGGTTTATACATATCAAACTGCCTCCGCGAGAAAAAAATTACACTTTTACCTGAGAACAGTGTTTTCCTTACATCATTTGGCAAAAATGACACATTTTCTTTGTTAAGGGTGGATTCAACCACTTGTGGTGCATAGTTACTTGGATTCGGTAACAATGTTTGGTTGGTGATGGCATCTAGACATTTGTTCCAAAAGTCAGTGGTAACTATGTGAGAGCCCTGTGCCAATGCCAAAACAACTTTTATTGTTAATGTAATAGCAGGCATTGTTAGATATGCACAGCTCTCATCCCATTCATTCTTAAGCAGGCCTCCTAATTTTCCGAGACACACCTTCAGGTTTTGTAAATTCTCTCCCTTGAGTGTTGATGTACAAGTAACGAAGTGAATTTCATGTATTTTCCACACACTGCTCATCTTTCCAAACTTCACGTTATCTTTGTTGTTCAACTTGATTTTTAGACCAGCCTCTACTTTACTGGTGAAATCGTTGATAAATGTACCGTATCTGGACCCCATATCTTGCAAAAACAAGTCATTATTCGATACAGAAATGGTTGCATGTTTTCTGCTGATTGATGGGTCGTCTGGGATAGCAAAATTGCAAACTAGAGCGTCAACACTTCTTCCGATAGTTATTTCTTTATTCGGCATAACATAAATAACTCTGTGATCGGTATCCGACGTTAGGTACCACATTTTGGCTCAAAGGATTAGAGAAATATTTGTAAATTCTCAATAAAAACAGATTTGTTTTATTAACAAAATAACCTCGAAATAATTTACCAACTATGAAAGTACGAAGCGAGTGAATGAATGAAATCCGACCGAAGCGGTAAACAGCCATAGACAATCATTTTAAATTTTTGATCAAACTATCAATATCGCGATTAGTGATGGGTTTTTACCCGATGAATATCCGTGTAAGGATAAATTTTACTGAGTATTTATTCCAAAACATGGATAAATTATTTTTTTGTGTTTATTAAAAATAATATTCATTACAATTCATTTTTTGTTAAATAATTACGTTTTTACCATTATTTTATGTAACAATACTGTTCTACCTACGTTTTTTCAGTCGCGTGGTATAAAAAATTCGATTGACAGAAAGTTATCAAAGTAACTGTAACCCTTGAACTGACCTATCCTGCGTTAATAAAGTGCGACCCAACTTATGGTCTTGGTGTCTACTGCGTACTAAATAAAGTCATGTTTGGACTTGAAATAACCTAAAGATTCTTTCACATTTCACACAAAATCTATTAATTAAAACCCATAATCTTAAAAATAAATGTTTATAATTGTGTAAATACACAAAGTGTTTTAAAAATATACTATGTTTTAGGAAATTTATATAATAAACCACGATTAAACATATTTATCAATTTTTTTGGATAAATATCAAGTAAAAATGGATATTTATCCCAATAATATTTATCCATGACCCATCTCTAATCGCGATCCATATAGCTAATCGTCTACCTTAACACACACGCGCGATTTTATGCAGCGATGCAAACGTGCGACTGCATCGATACAAACGCGCGAATACATTGCTACACTAGTAATATAGAGAAGCGATTGCTCGATACCGCGCGTTTATATCGATGCAGCCGCGCGTTTGAATCGATGTAGTCGCGCGCTTGTATCGGTACGATCACCTATAAATAGCAAATGTAGCGATGAAAACGCTCGTTTGTGAAATGTTTCGCGAACGCGCGTTTGGTTTTTTTTTTAACGACTGCAAAATATCCTACATAAAAAAAGCAAACGCGCGTTCGTGAAACGTTTCACAAACGAGCGTTTGCATCGCTGCTAAAAATCGCCAGGTGTAACCACTCTAAGAGTGACAGAGGGTTGATATTAATTTTCATAAGACACGATTGCCTACTGAAAAACATTTATTGAATAACCTACAAATATAACTTATTGACAATCAGTAAATAGTTACGCTTTTTTTCTATAGGTAGCATGTTCGGAACCTTATAGCAATACATGTAATGCATGTTTGCAGTTAATGCGTGAAGTCGTAATCAACGTCTTGCCGCCGAGATCATGACTGCATGAAGTTGATAACGACTTCACGCATTAACTGCATGCAGTCGATCTCAGCTGCATGAAGCCGGTTTTGGCTTCATGCAGTAAATGCGTGAAGTCGATATCAACTTCACGCAGAAGAGGTTTCATTTCATTTCATTTCATTTATTTATTTGCATTTCACATGGATGATAAACTTATACATGTGATACCCTGTAAGGGTGTAGCAAAGTTACAATGGAATTTAAATACATTGCAAGCTTGAACGTAGTTAATTAGTTTAGATAATTAATTATATTATAGATTCAATATATTATATATCAATATATTATATATTTTTTTCTTAAAATTAATTAAATTATTATTTTTATAATTATTAAACATTTTTATTACTATTACATTTCATTTAATTTCATTTATTGCAATTCACATTTTAATAAACTTAGATACATACATGTGATACCCTGTTAGGACGTAGCACAATTTAAACTTAAACCTAATGATACAATTATTTTAACATATATTATAATATATATTATTCGTACATTTATTTTATTATTATAATATATATTATTCGTACACTTACTGCTAATAATAATTTTTACTGATTTGTATTTTCAATTATTACCTAAATTTCATATAGACATGAAATCAATTTCAAATACATTTATCGCCAAAAAATTCAGACATATTATAATAGGTTTTTTTGTTTAGAAATTCCTTTAAACGTTTTTCAAAAACCGTGTCTTTATCCAAATTGTTAATATAATTTGGGATGTGGTTATATACTTTTATTAACATAGGGTGTGGTGCACAAGAAAATAATTTTAGGCTAGAGGGGGGAAGTTTAAGCTTGTTATGGTAACGATTATTACGTCTTATTAATTTTATCGGAGAGTATAAATCTGCGTGTTTTTTAACGAACTTACAGGCTTCAAAAATGTATAGGCATGTTAGAGTCAGTATGTTAAGTTTTGTAAAATACGGTTTACAGGAGTCCGTTTGTTTTATGTTGGTTAATATTCTGATCATTTTCTTTTGTAGAACAAAAATTTCTTGACAATACGAGCTGTTTCCCCACAGTATAACCCCATAGGCTAGTCGCGAGTGGGCAAACGCATTGAGTAGAGTTCTAGAATACGACCCATAGAGTTGTTTTTTTAAATTAATAGTTTTGGCTTGGATACAAGTCCTTTGAACAGTTGTAGTTGTAAATTCTAAAGCATTATGTTTTCACTTTCTCTTAAACTAAAATACCTTAGTTCACTTATTTAGTTTATTAAATATTCTTTTAAGCGGCGGAAGTCAATATTTATGTTTAACTTTCAATTAAATCACAATATCTTCTATCACTTTGAACAATAACTTTAAATTTGTAATTAGTGGAATTTTCAGGATGAAGTCTTTTGTAATTTGGTTTAAAATACGAAATATAGTTCTGGCTTTCTTCATCACTATTTCTTTCTTCGTTTTTTCGTCATAATATACTTAAAATAAAAATAATCTTTGTAAAAACAGTACTCGTGACTTCAAAAACACGCCATTTTTGCATAGAGTTGGATTGTCTTAAGTGTAGTTTGACGTGCAATTCACCCTATATGACGGTGATTAAACAGATACCTGTTTTATATCGACTAAAACGGACAGCACTAGTTTCTTTTTTTTAGTTGCCATGGTGACAGCGTCAGCAAGTCAAACAAACAAACGCAGCGGAAAAAGTTTTGAATTAAAAAGAGAAGAAATTATAATTTGTAGCTGTTAACCAAAATATGACACTGTACATTGATACGAAGCTTACTGTTACAGATACAGATGTCGTATCCACTGTAGGGTCTTGGCATCCTTCCTTACCACTTCTCGCAATCGGTTCCTATCATCAAGAGAAAGGTGGATTTGTTACAATTTTTCAGGAAAATGTAAGTACATAGTCATTCTTTTATATTTAAGAAATATAATTATGAATTGTCGTATAATAGCCGCTTAATTTTGTATTTTAGGGAATTGCCTTAGAAGATTGCGTATGGCCAATACTATTTTCAAATCAAGTAACTGCACTAGCTTGGCATCCTACGAGAAAACTACTTGTGGTCGGTTGGGATGGCGGCGAGCTGTACATTTGGCTGGAATATGCGTGGGCGCGATTGGAAGCTCCTCATAATGCAGCTCTAACAACGATCGCCTTCAGTTTAGGAGGAGGAAGACTGTTAGCCTCAGATGCTGCTGGATCCCTTTCAGGGTGGCAGGCCAGCTCTGGTGCACCTTTGACGTCATTCCATCATCAACTTGGTGATGTTATCACACACATAACTTTTTGTTCACCACAACCAAGCAGTGAATCTTCTATCAGGGGCCTAGCTCGAGCAGCAGTAGCAGGAGACGAAAACGCGTTGGATGCCCTTGCGGCTTGGAGGCCTCGTACTACCGCAAGGATGAGGGAAGGTATACAACCAGACAACCATAGCTGCTATGCTGCTCAAGATAATGGTGTTATACTATATATTGACAGTTCAGGATCTTGTACAGAAGTCCTTAGTGCTCCAGGAAGTGTAATATTTATGGGAATCATAAGCAACATTTATCTTCTAGTTGCCTGGGAGTCTGGGGGCGCCCTCAGCTTGACAAGGTTCCTCACAGCTGAAGATGGTATTCTATCATCTGATACACATGTAAGGATGTCTGCTAGAAACGGTCAGAGTATTGTTCTTTGTGGCAACTTTTATGTTGCTGTTATAACAGGAGGAAACTTGATTAGAATCTGGGACAGTGAGACAGGGGACAATGATGTCTTGCCCAATGAACGGGAAGATATTGCATCAGGAGATACTTTGACAAGCATTAACTATTGTAGCTTAAGTGACACATTGTGTTGTGGGACATCTCAGGGAAATATATACTTTTGGAGGAGAGACCACAGAAATTCTTGGAAATTGATAAGCAGTACTACTGTAAAGGGAACTGTGAAAGAAGTAAGTTGGGGCTCAGAAGGTCTTATGAACCCGTTGCTTCATGTTAATTGTATCACAAGTGTGTATTTACTTCGGGAGCAGCCTGTCTGCTGGGGGTATTCACCTAATGCGTGGATGGTGCAAAAATCAGCTCATGAAATAGCAGTTCTGAACGATGCAAACATAAACTCAAGCATCAAGAGCACTATTACAGTAAGAGCCTTAGCATTTCAAGACCAATATGTGGCACTGGGAGATGGGAAAGAGGTGCAGGTTAGTTATTGTCATCAATAATTAGTGAAAATTTTTATCCTAGTAGAAGCTCAAGTAATTTGATGGATTTTCTGTATTTCAGATTTGGGTGTGCAATAAAGACAATGAAATAAAATTTACACTTTTGCGCTCGTTCCCTTGGAAAACTGATGTTCTGATCATCTACAATGACATCTTGGTGGGTGTAGTTACTCCTCACATTGAATGCTACACCATAACTGGCACAAGCCTTGGAATTTTACCCAGCACTGAAGGCGAAGGTGAACCCATAGGAATTACAAACACCAACAAATTTATAGTTATTGCGAGCATGGATGGCACTCTTAAATTAGCTGAAATTACGAAAAAAGGACTGCGAATGCCATATCCGCCCAAAAATTGTTATCAAATGATTGAAGACTTTGGAGAAGTCATGAGAGCTTCAGTAAACTGCACAGGTCGTTACATTTGCCTCAGTCTAGCTAATGCTGGGTTGGCGCCCGACCCTCGTCTCTATCTGTGGGATGTAGCGAATGACGTTATTACAAATTCACTTCTCTCGGAAAACACTTCTCCGCCATTCCAAAGCGTTCCAATAGCAATTGTGTGGGATGCTAATGATCCCAGGATCGTTGCAGTTCATATGCGCTCAGTAGATTTTGATCGTATTCATCTATTTTTCTGCCATGAAGGAAGTCTGTTTGAATATAAAAACTGGTGCTCTTCGCAAGAGTTGTTCACGTTGGACTTCATGCTTTGCGCCCTCAGTACGCCGTACGTCGTAGTATTGTCTCAACAGAATATTAAAAAAATTATTATGCGGGAATTTGAGGACTCCACCGATCACGAAGACGCCGGCGTACGACAAGTATTAGATTTCTTGTATTACATAATGACGGGTCACTTAGAAAAGGCAGTCGTTGTTGGAACAAACATTTCAGGAAGTAAAGGTTCAGTTATTTGGGACAGCTTGGCGAAAGAATGTGTAGCGCGAAAACGACCTGACGTTGGAGCTGTGTGTCTCGGGAAGATGGGGAACATAAAAGGGGCTTTAATGATGCGCAAAGCCATGAATGACAACGATATTGATGACACTTGCAAAGTCGGCATTCTCGCATTGAATCTCGGCATGACAGATGAAGCTGAACTATTGTTCAAAGAAGCTCAAAGACCTGATCTGATTACACGACTAGTAGCAGCTAAAGAAGGAGGGTTGAATGAGATAACAACAAGCGGTAACGACGGAGAGAATGTACTGCTCGTAAAAAGTGCTCAGCACAAACTTGCCAAGGTTCTGTGGTCCAATGGTGAAACTGGATCTGCTCTGAAACTATTTGAAAGTGCAGGCACACTTGTGCCTCATGTCCCTCGCATGCTTATAGCCCAGGGACAAGCACCTGCCCTTGCGCAGTATGTTTCCAGTTCAAATGATCCCACTCTTATTACATGGTGGGGTCACTACCTTGAAAGTATTGGTGATTTAGATGGAGCTCTGGAGGCATATGGTCGTGCCCATGATTTTGGGGAGCAAACGAGACTCTTGTGTCATATGAACAAATTAGAAGAAGCTGAAAAATTGTGCCAGAAAAACAAACCTGCTATGTATCAAATGGCAAGGTTTTTAGAAATGCAGCCGGACAATACTGAAAAAGTTGTAAAGGTAATTTTTGGAGCCATAAGTTGAATTTGTATCAATTTAAATGTAGCCTATAGCAGTAATGACCTTCATTTCAGTTATACATAAAATGTGGAGCAGTAACGTCAGCTATTCGTGTGGCTGCCGAGGCAACCGCTTGGAATCTCGTTTGGCGCGCAGGATCTGCATCCGCAACCCACGCTTTGCACGCTGCATCCATTCTTGAGAACGCTGGACAAAATGAACAAGCTATTGCTTTGTATCAGAAAGCAGGTATCTGTGCAATTTTTACTTGTTGGTGTAAATGTTAGGTCTTCGAAACTATTACAAATATTTTTTGCAAACCTTTTAGATAACGTTATAATTACGAATACAAAGATTGGACACTTAGAAAAAATTCCTTCGGTCCAGATCCGAACCGACGTCTTCTAGTAAACCGTGTCAGACGCTATGCCAACTAAGCCACGGAATGAACGCGGACCTCACGAATTTTTCTGTGCTTGTTGTATCTTTCTATTTAGTTTTTCAAAGACTTTAGCCGTTACGCGATGGCGCTATATAGATGTATGAGAAATCTATGAAAGTCACCCAGTTAGATTTTCCAGCTACCAGCCCCGGCTAGAGATTTCGCTATTCACTGTATTTAATTTTTTATTGATTTGATATAGTTCGTTCTGTGGCTTAGTTGGCATAGCGCCTACTACGATTTGCTAAAAGACGTCGGTTCGAATCTGACCGGATCGAAGGAATTTTTGCTAAGTGTGTTCGATCTTTCTATTAACAATTGTAACAAAGTAGTGGTGTAATTTCACATAAAAAATAATTGAATATCAATTCAATAAAAAATTACATTTAGAGAATGATTAAAGGAATGTCTTGATGCACTATACTTAAACAAAAATGTAAAAATAATACAAGGAATTGGTCTTTTGCAGGCAAACCGCATATGGCGCTAAAGCTAGCAATTAACTGCGGAGACACAAACGCGATGATCGCAGCGGTGGAGTCATTGGGTGATCGCGTCGATCCTGAGCAAGCGCACATTCTTGCCTCCTATTTGCGCGAGGCCGACCACCATTCACACGCTGCTGCTTTATTGGCTACAGCTGGAAAGGTAAGCAATTTTGTATATATGTTTGTAAACGGATTCTCGAGTTGATTCATCTACATAGGGCGGACTATAAGTTTCCGGAACTGGCCACTTACATAAACAATATTTAAAAAGTAATTACAACCAGTGCAAACCAGTTGGGCAAAATTTAATTGTTCTGGCAATTAAAAATTGACAATTAATTAATTATCGAGTTCTTAGGTTTTCGCGATTGTTACACATAGGAAATGAAACTATTTTCCGGATTTAAATCGCGTATATTTGTTTTTTCAAACAAACCGACGTTTCAAACAGCAATCAACGATTGATCAATTGTTAGTTGCGAAACAGCAATTAACGATTGATCAATTGTTAGTTGCGAAACAGCAATTAACGATTGATCAATTGTTAGTTGCGAGAACCGCAATTAACAATTAATTAATTGTTAATCGTTAATCGCGTATATCTACAATTAATCAATTTTCAGTCTTTTCAATGTTTTTGATTAACAATTATCAATTATAACTGACAATTATGATAAATTTATATGGGGGTGAGTTAGGGCGTGTGTTAGGATTTGCGTTGGGGGGGTTAGGGTTTGGATTGGGGGGTTAAGGTTTGGGTTGGAGGGGTTAGGGGTGAGTTAGGGTCTGATCAGTGGGTGGGTGAGTAGGTGGGTGAGCGGGTGTGAGTGGGTTGGGTTAGGGGGTTGGTCACAAACCCAAAAAATTAAATTAATTGCAATTAATTTATTTGCAATTAAAATCAATTCAGTTTAAATCAATTGCAATTTAAATCAATTGCAGTTAAAATCAATTGCAATTAAATTAAATGCGAATTGACTTAATTGCAATTGATTTCAATTGAATTGATTTTTTAATCTGATTGAATTTCTTATTGAAATTTAATTGATTAACGCCCAACACTGATTACAACATTTGAAAATGGAACTCTTTGGCTGTAGAATATAGTTTGTTTCATCTGACTGTCACTTGTTTTTACATTGTGGCGTCATTTTAGAAATTGGTTGTCTACATCACCATGGATTTAACTCGTGAAAATTTTCGAAGTATGATTTTCTATGACTTTAAGTGTAATTTAACAGCTCAGCGAAGCTTCGCTCGACTTCAAACTGCTTTTGGCGACGATGCACCATTACAAGACGACTATTTATAGCTGGTTTGCAGAATTCAAACGCGGTCGTGTGAATCTCAGTGACGAATTTCATGATGGTCGCCCGTCCACTGCTGTGAACAACAAAAACATCGATGCTGTGCGCCGTATGATCAAAACAGACAGGCATGTGACATACCATGAGATGCGGGCATCTTTAGGCATAGGCATGAGTCAAATACAATCAATACTACACAAACATTTGTGATTTGTGTGAAAAAGCTGTGCTCTCGGTGGATCGCGTCACTTGGTGCAATACCATGCTTACCAGATTCAACGAAGGGGCGTCAAATTTGGTGTGGGACATAGTAACAGGTGAAGAAACATGCATTCATAGTTACGATCCCAAAACAAAGCAGCAATCGAGTGTATGGGTCTTTCGAGATGAGCCGAAACCAACCAAAGTGGCGCGCGAGCAAAGTGCCTCTAAGCGGATGATTGCTTATTTTTTTAATAAAACTGGACATGTGGCTACTGTTGCTTTGGAGAATTGTTGTACCGTGAATAGTGATTTGTTTGCCGGAAGTTATAGACAAACTCCGTAAAAATAACCGTAAATGCCGTATCAACTTGCACCACGATAATGCTAGTTCTTACACGGCCAGACAGACAAATGAATTTTTGAAGGTGAACAACAAGTCAACTTTATGGGCCATCCCGCGTTCGGCACCTTGTGACTTTTATTTATTTCCAAAAATTAAGAACCAGTTACGTGGCCAACGATTTTTTTCACCTGAAGAGGCTGTCGAAGAGTATGAAAAATATGTTTCAGAGATTGTCACGGAGAAGTGGCATAAATGTTTTCAAATTTTGGTACATTCGTATGAAAAAGTGCATTGCTAATGGAGAACATTTTGAGAAACAATAAATTAATTTCTGACCATTTATAGTATTGTTTTCTTATTCATTCCGGAAACTTATAGTGCGCCTCACGTACGCTTATCGATACTCAAATGCTTATCGTAAGAGCATATTCACTTCTTGAGCTGCCAGACGAACCGTTCAAAGTAAAACTGTTTAATGATAAACATTTGTAAACCAATTCAGAGGATTCTTTTTTAGTTGGAAAGGGGCACCTCAGTAGTGGTCCCATTCAAAATTGAAGGAAATATTTCACCTTTAAGGGTGGCAAATTAGGGGATGAATCCGGTTTATTGAATTTCACCCACTTTCCATTAACGATTTTAACGATTTCAATCAAGCTTGGCACATAGATGTAATTTCAGTGAAACTAAACGGATAAGAAACTTTTGAGGTTGTTTTTGGTACATTGCTGCCGACGTTCGACAATTATATTTATATATAGGTGGGAGGTACCGGCCTTGCTAAATAAAAATTATGGCGTCGTCCGCCATAATTTTTATATTATTTTTACAAAACTACTTGACATTGGCGAAATCATCGATTATTTCGATGGGTCCATAACATTTAAAAGAAGAAGAAGAAGTGGTTGTTTTTATTTAAGTTATAAGTAAATTGTTACAGTACGAAGAAGCACTAGACATAGTAGAACAATCGGCGACCCCACTATCAGAGGATCTGAGCGAGCGACTAGCGGCGCCAGCAGGCACTGCAGGCCGCGACGCGCTGCTGCGGCGGCTGGCTGACGTGTTGGGAGGAAGAGGATTATATCATCAGGCTGCTAAGCGGTTAGCCCATGCTGGAGACAAGGTACAAAGGGCAACAAAATACAAAATATTCCAAACATTTTTTTTAAGCTAGCGCCCGTTGCTATGATAACAGACAAGAATTGAAATGCCCGGATTTTTTTTTACTTATTAATACAAAAATCGAACGCAAAGAGAAATTCTTTCGATCCGGCTCAAATCGAACTAGCGACCTCGTCGACCTCCATTTTGTTTTCATTACTACGTTAGCCTAGTAATTACTGGCACATGGGACTTGTCAAGTTATGTCTCATGGTAACGGGTGCAGTGGGAGTACCCCTCAGATCTTTGTGATTTAAAGCTCTGAGTGACACTGCAACTGTTGTGGACAGGCGTGTAGCTTACCATGACGACCGGTTCATACCGTCACTAGATAATATATATTTTTTTAAACTAATAGCGTAGAGAAAATGTATATTGTTTTCACCATTGCAATTCATCGGATATGTTTTTCCTTAAATTTAGCGTAGTTTTTTCATAACTTTATAAAGTGTCTTCTTTTCGTCAGATACCAAACAGTCCCTACTAAATAGCCACTGATTTCTTCCATACGATACAGCTTTGTTTTCTTGGAGATTTTCAAGACTTATCGATTTCGAGCTAAAGTGATTTGACTACTACCATGCCAAAACAACTTTTATATGGTTAAGTGTTTTATTGTCAGGATGTTTCACCAACTTGATATTCAATTATTTTTTTGTGTAATTACTCTACTAGTTTGTTATAATTATTAATACAAAGATCGAACACTTAGAAAAAATTCCTTCTATCCGGCCGGATTGGAACCAACGTCTTCTAGCAAACCGTGCCAGACGCTATGTCAACTAAGCCACGGAACGAATCAGCGGACCTCATGATTTTTCTATGTGCTTTTTGTCGGATCTTTGTATCTAGTTCTTAACGACTTTTAGCTCCATCTATGAGAAATCTATAAAAGTATCTCGTCACCTAGTTAGGCACCTACAGCCCTGGCTAGAGATGTCGCTATTTACTGTAATTAAGTGTTTTACTGAATGGTTTGCTAGATGACGTCGGTTCGAATCCGGCCAGATCTTTGTGTTCATAATTATAACTCTTATATAACAAACGTTCCTCATTAACTAGACATAACAATTACTTTCAAACATACAATCGTAATGTATATCATTCTGTGATGAGTACATACCTTTCAGGCGGGAGCAATGCGATGGCTAATGCGTTCAGGCGACGCAGACCGCATAGCGACATTTGCAGCTGCCACACGCGACCGGGCAGCACAACTCATGGCAGCTGACTACTTAAGGAGGCATTCTGACTGGCGCACACGACCAGATTTGACCAGACACATTCTGCATTTCTATACGAGGGCTAAGGCATATAACAAGTTAGCTGCATTTTATGCGGAGTGCGCTAAGACCGAGGTGGATGAATATGGTGTAAGTTGTTTTTTACTTTAAGCGCAGGCCACACCGCAAACGAAGCTATCTAATTTAGCTTAACTCACATAGTTGCATGCAAAGCTAAGCTAAGAAAATACGCATTATAGTAACTAGTGACTATGGGGTTACGTGCGTGTGTGAAGGGCGGCAGAAGAGCGACATATTGTACATAGCTAGCGGAATTGTTGGGTTAGTTTAGTTAGCTCGGTTAGCTTAGTTCGCGGTGTGAACCGAAGGATGAAAGGATGCCCCGACTACGTGAGCTAAGCTAAGTTAGCTTCGTTCGTGTAGCCTGCGCATTAGGGTGGATTTAGGCGCAAAAGTCCAATTGGCAAAATGTACTGGCCCTTTCTATATTCTGAACGTTAAAACGCAAAACGTTCAATCTGCGGAACCCCAATTTGCATCACGTGTAATTCACAGAATTACAATTACTATGTAATTTGTATAACTGCCGTACTGGTAGCTTAGATTTGAAAAATTAAACAAAGAAAACTAACACTGAAATATGTACATAATCAGTTGATATTTAAAAACAAGAGAGATAAACTTCTTTTTTTTCATCTTATTTTTGGCGAAAATGTATAATATCTCGAAAATTATGTTAGCACCCTCACACAGCACAGAAAACAATGAATATCAAAAAGATACGTCAAAAATACATAAAAAATAAAACAAATTCGAAATATGAAAAGAATATAAAAAAGGTCTGCCGCCAACAATATTAATTTAAAGTAATTGACTTTAAATAGTGATTATTTTTTATTGGTAAAGCCGTGGTAGCGTAATGGTTTGACCTACCGCCTCTCAGGCAGAGGCCGTTTGTTGGAATCCGGGCTCTCACTTCGGAGTTTCTCGGAATTTGTGAGCGAAATTGAATTTGAAATTCACCATAAGCTTTTCGTTGAAGGAAAACGTCGTGATGAAACCTGCACGTCGTAGAAGATTCACTACCCTTGAACACATGAAGTCCCCAACACAACTAAAGCCTGAAACCCTCGCCAGAGAGGAGACCCGTGCCTAACAGTGGGACGTATAAATTAGTTGATGATGATGAATGTATATTTTTCAGAACTATGATAAAGCTCTGGAAGCATTAAAAGAAGCAACCCGGTGTCTTTCGAAATCGTCGGACCCCGAAACAGGGGTTCAGACAATGGCTCTACAGGAGCAGGCAGCATTCGTCAAACGATTCTTGGATATGAAAAAGAGCTTAGAAGCTGGGGAACTTAATGCAGGTAAGCATCAGTTCAGTTTTTTTTTTTTTTTAGTAAAAAGTCAGCAGCCGTAAAAGTTATTAGCAGATTAAGCTCCGCTGCATACGCAGCGCAGTACGCACAATACGTGAGTTTATCTATGTTAGTACTGCTAGACTAATTTACTTTAGTTACTTCCATAGTATAATGTCCTTCGGGATTCTCATGTCGGTTAAAGCGACAAACATATCACTATTAGTGTTACAAGCGATTAGAGTGATTCTTTCTGTGTACCGTTTAGTTTTTCGGGTTTCCCTCAGAGAAAAGTTTAGGGAAACAGGTATCACAACTGTGGCATCATAGTACATTTACTCATATATTTTGTATGCCGAACTCATGGTACGACGATTTCGTTTAACTAACTGAACTTTGACTTTACAACAAGATTCCGGAGCATATATTAAAATTATTATTTCCTAAGTTTAAAACTTACATTAAAAGTATTTTAATGAAACAGTAATATTACAAAATTTAAGACTACGTGATAGATAAGATTATTATTACAACGCATCAGCATGGTTTCATTAACTCAAGGTCAACTACTACAAACTTAGCGTTATTTATATCTAGTATATCTAAATTAGTAGATGAGCGAATTCCAGTGGGCGCCATATATACTGATTTCAGCAAAACGTTCGATAAAGTTGATCATCAAATCCTCTTGAATAAATTGTCGCTTTCGGGCATTGATGATTCGGATATCTTATCGGCATTCTAAGGTAGTAAACGGTTTTAGCTTACATTTTTCGTTGCTCAGTCTGGGGTTCCCCAAGGATCTCACTTGGGTCCTATATTTTTCAACGTATTTATTAACGACGTAATTCATTGGTTAAAAAACTCGAGTTTATACCTTTTCGCCGATGACTTAAAAATAATAAAACCAATTAAGTCTTCCAAGGATTCAGAACTACTCCAAGAAGATACCAATCATTTAAGTAGTTGGTGCACATCCAATAAAATGATATTAAATGTTGATAAATGTTATCATAATACGTTTTTCACGCAACAAGCTCGACAACTTATACAAATACAATTTTTTGACGGATAGGAATTAAGGACGGTAGACGAGATTCGGGACTTTCGGGTTTCAGTAGACAGACATTTGAAGTTTGACTCACATATTATAAAACGATAAACAAGGATTTTGGGATGATGGGTTCCGTACTGCGCAATGCTAAGAATTCAAGAAGTCTTCATCAAAAATAAAACTCTTTCAAGCATTAGTACGACCTGGACTAGAATTCAGCAGTGTTATTTGGACTCCACATTACGAAGTGTACATCAAACGTTTGGAAAGTGTTCAAAAACGCTTTCTATATCATTCGGTATAATGGTGATTTTAGGGCTAGGAGACTCCCGGGGTGCTCATATAGACTCTACTCAATTACAATTTGACTTTGGTCAACCGTAGAAAGATACTTGATTTATTATTGCTACATAAAACTTGTTAACGCTTCATTAGATTGCCTTGGGTTATTGAATATGTTGCTATTCAATACTTCTTGTAGGTTGCCCAGGAAAAGCGCTTACAACTTTTTTGCCGTACTAGGTTCAAAAACGAACCTCAGTCATTTCACTCTTTTGCCAAGGCTCTACAGGACGTATAACACCCCTTCCAAATCACTGATTTGGACATTGGTCTTGGGTTAAACAGTGACAAAAGAAGGTTGGGTGATACTATAAGTACATAAATTACATTTCAATTAATTTTATACTACTTAGCAAATTCTCTGAAATTTATATTTTAATTTTTAAATCAGTTTGTGTATATCGATTTTATAAGTAGATAGATGAAATATATATTCGCATTGTTTAAAATAACAATAATTTTGTTAATATTTTATAACATATGGTTGTCATTGCATGCTGTGATGTTCCTTAAGTGTAGAAGCACTTAGTTTTAAGCTATTATATTCGATATATAATGTGTGGAGTTTTTGTATGTGGAATGTCCAGAATAAATAAATAAATATGCATGGAAAGGCGACATGGCTCTAGATTCCACATAAATTTGATTCGAAGTATATTTCATAGCATTAAAGTTTATTTGAAAAGAACAATTCCTAGAGTTTCTTGCTCGTTCTTCTCAGGGAAGTCAGCATAGTGAACGAGCGGTAGCTTAAACGACGTTTTCAAGTGCAAATTTGTTTTACCTATGGAATAAATGATTGTTTGACTTTGAGTGCCATCCTGGATGAACTCTTTTCCAAGGAGCTCTGCTGCTACTAAAACTACTACTTTCTTCATTATTCCTTTTTTTTAAACCATATCATTAAGTTGGCAAGGTGGTATTGTAATAACACGATAATTGAGGACTAATTTATTAACTATTTTAATTAATTCTCCTGGTAATTTTGTAGCGTAAAACTAATTACTATCGCCACCATTTCAATGTCCAAGAGTAACTTATCTTCCTGTACTTGAATCTGGTTTCTAATTATTTCAGGAATAACAAGTGGCCAACAACTCCTTCGTGCTGTAAGCGGCCGGTCCGGTTTGGTTACGGAGGAAAAAGTGCTTAAGTTAATAACACTGCTGGCGCCGAACCATCCGGATACCCCACGTGAGTTGACAAACCAATGACATTCTTTATTATGTTACAGTCATGGAGTATATAACCAGAAACTCGATGGTTACAGTGAACCACCAAGTAGACAGTTCCATCTGGGGTAATCAGCTACAAAACAATACTTTTGACATGTATTAACTGTTTTTATCTTTTTGCAGAATTTGAACTACAACTGAAGGCGTTACAGCAGAACCCAGAAGAAAAAAGCCTGTCCACAGATTCCCCGGATCAGAGCATCGAAGAGATTATTTAGTTTTTGTTAAAACTAATATATTTGTGATTTATGTAAAAATAATCCGTCCATTATATATTTAATTATAGCTATTTAAGATTTGATCAGATTTTTTATTTTAACATTATTTTCCCCATTTCATGTAATTGTTGTTGAGATTGAATGATGAATTAACAACACTCAAAATAGGCGCCTGGATGTCGAGTTGCAGACACCAGCCCGTTACACCGAGTACCAAGTGTTGAGAACTAAATCGTATGTAACATTGGGTGTGTTGTGGTGGTGGTTTTTTGTAAAATAACTCCACTAGTTTCCTTATGATTATGAATACAAAGATCGAACACACAGAAAAATGTTCGTCGACCCGGTGGGACTTGAACCCAGGTACATGCTGCACCGTAGCATTGCTCTAACCATCTGAGCAAAGCATAATTTAAAAAGTCTACACCGAAAACACGATCTCTAGCGCGAGCTCACGTTGGCTATTAATATCAATCGCGAGATTGTGGAATACGAACGATTTGAGTTTATAAAGAAAGATTGTTTCACCTGATTCTTCTTCCGTTAACAAATTTAATCATAGTTACGGGACATGTTATTGCAGCCGCGTATTATCGCTAGATGAACTGAACATCACTGAATATTCACGCGAGCAATTAAATGGCAATTAGTAGTCGAAATTTTTCCATCCTCTAAGGAATAGATTTCAATTCTCTCCTTGTCTCGTTTCGCCTCGCCTTTGAAAATTTTTTTGACATCTGCTTGGTGATTACGTTCTGGCCCAAGTCTATTATATAGTGGCCGCCATTAAGGAAATAATAAATTTTATAAAAATATTATTAGAAAATTTACCTAACAACGCCTAAGCAGAGTGAGTATTATAGAAGAGTAATGATAATGGATCACCTGAAAATGTATTCGAACGCAAAACTACAGCTGATTTTGACAATTTATCATCATGGCTTTTAGGTTATATGTGAATTTTGAAATACTTTCACGGCATTGTTATGTTTAAAATACGATAATACGTGATGATAATGGTGCGAATAACATGCGTTAATAATTTAAAATGTTTATACTTAAATAGCGCTCTGCGCTTTCATCAAAGGTATGTAATTTTTTAAATTATAAATAATATTACTAACAAACCCAAGTCACGCAAAACTTTAGCACACATTATTGAAATTGTAAATGAAATTTGTTTTTCACAGATTGTCAATAAAGCGTATGTGCAGCACGGACTCCCATAATAAGCTCCCAGATGTAAATAAGATACGAAACTTTAGTATAGTAGCTCATGTTGATCACGGAAAGAGTACATTGGCAGACAGACTTTTAGAAATTACTGGTGTCATTAAGCCAGGTGCTGAACACGCACAAGTCTTGGATCAGTTACAGGTTAGTATTGTTATCGAATATTTTATTTAATATCTGGATACTAATTCATATTTCTAAGAAAAATTGTTTATTTTATAAATTATATTATCATTCTGTCGGCGATATTTGAAACTCCTACCTCATAACTTCGTTTTTGGACGTAATCCCTGTTTTACTTAATTAAAGCTTAAAATAATAACATAACAACACACACTCAACACTGCCCTGGAAAATACACTAGGGAAACACATCTAAACTCACGAGAGACATAAATGTAGGCCATACAAATATTTCTCCTGGCCTGGGAATCAAACCTGGAACCTCTGCGTGACAGTCTGGCCTAGTAACTGTTCGGCCATGGAGGCAGATACAAAATATCTAGAAATGGGCCATTCCAAAGTGACGGGTGGAACATTTTGACACCTTTTTTCTTGAACTTTATGTAATTTCTCCGTAACCATTGGTTAATTAGACTTAAAATGAAAATATCATGAAGCCAGAATGCAATTCAACTGCGACTATTTATTTACATAAATTTATGACATTATTAATTTTCTAAGTGTGTTGGGTGGAACACTCACGACACTCGCCTGTTTGAGTTGATGGCTTCATTGCCAAGATCAAGGCAAACTATCAATATTTTGTTCAGCAAGTTTTTCATATGAGATAACTTGAATGTTAAAGTTCTAATTTATATATACACTTAATTAATAACTTTGATAAATTTTAAGGAAATTAATATGTTAAGTTGTGACAGGTGGGACATGGTTTTGTGACAGGTGGGATAAGTTACAATTGAATATACAGAATTAATAAAATTACACTGTTTAATATGAGATCCATTGTTGTAAGCAAATATCGTTGTAATTTATAATATTTGTCTTATTAAGACATTTTAGCATAAAAAAAACAGTATTAAGGAACTGGCAAAGTAATCCTACTATTTTTCTTGAAGCACTATCTATGACAACATGAAATCCAAGCCACGCATGTAAAATGCGTTAATAAATTTGAAAAATCTTGCCGCACCCTTGAAGATTATGTATCATATCAAAATATATAGAATTTAAGAAGTTGTGCACGAATATATAGTTAAAACTGGTGGAGACAGACTTCATAAATTTCCTGATACTAAAAATCATCAGGAAAAATGTTGTCACTTTTTAATTGTCTTTTTTTATGTGTTATAATGTCTTAATTATGAGAAGAATTATAAAAAATTTGCTTGAAAATGATGGATCTACATATAAACAGTGTATTTTTTTAAATTCTACATATTCAAATGTAACTTGTCCCACCTCTCACAAAATGGCGTCGCAATCGCCACAATTTTTAACACATCAATGCCAAACTCCGAAATTAAAGCAACTGTTACACTTAGTAAACACCGTAAAAACTCGAATCCATAAAAATACAAACATTTAATCAAAGAAAAAACGTTCAGAAGTGTGTCCCACCCATTGCTGTGACGGGTGGGACACACTTTCAAATCTTAATATTTACATTCCTATTTACGTGCACAATGACCAACCAAGCCAAAATAATGACCCTTAGCATAATTGTTACTTTTACGAAAGCAAATGCCAATAGATTGCATATTTATTAACCTGTAAGGGTCATTAATAAGGGATGAACTCCGGTTTCGCGCACTTTCCAGCAACCGATTTCTATAAAATTTCGCATATAAATGTAATTCCATGATCTTTTACTGAGATTATTTGCTCAATATATAACCAGTAATTAAGTGTCTTTTTTTCTTCTATATCTTTATTATTTTCACTTGTAAAGTATCAAGAACAAGCTTCGAATGTTTATCTTTGCTTCCTTTGCTTTACTCTCTATGCGGTGTGGTATCGGCGCTGTGATATTTTGATTATATAGACTAATAAAATAATGTAACGCTATTAAATAATACATTTCTTTTCTCCCTCTCCTCCAAGCATACTTTTTATAAACTTATATGCTACTCCAGCTAGTAACTTTAGACACATTTATTTATAAAATATATAAAAAGTTGCTTGTATCAGTTTAATAGGAGTTTGTGCTGCAATGTGTGTCAAACAATACTCTCCCCAGTCCTTGCCAATCTTCTCTAAGCAGTGGGTTTAAACTATAGAAAGCCATACTCAATAAATGTTGAGGCATTCACAAGTCTTTTTTTAAAATCTTTTACGACATGGAATGGAGGTTTCTAGTCCATTCAAATGAAACTCAATAAATACTCTTGCGTGCAAGGCAAGCACTCTCTAAGTATGTTACCACCTAAACATGAAATTTAACACAACTTTTTTAAGGTGGAGAGAGAAAGAGGTATCACGGTGAAAGCTGTCACCGCATCATTAAACTACACATACAAAAATGAACAGTACCTGCTTAATCTTATAGACACACCAGGCCATGTGGATTTTTCAAATGAGGTAAGTTAAAACTTGTTCTGTTTCTGTTTTACTTGATACATTTCCCTATTATAATTAAAAATCTCTGAAATTTACAGAGCATTTAGTTGCAAATGTCAAAGGTTTAAAATTATTATTTGCAAATTGAGTATTAGTAACACAATACAATACATCTGCCTTCAGTATTGACGGACCCTACTAAAACTATTCTAAATGTTAATGATATACATTGGCAGGTTGTCCGCAGTGTAACAGCATGTCAAGGAGTAATATTGCTAGTAGATGCAAACGAAGGAGTCCAGGCTCAAACCGTAGCAGTTCACTCCTTAGCCAAAAGTAACAACCTCACAGTAATACCTACATTAAATAAAGTGGATTTACCCAGAGCTGACCCTGAAAAAGTAAAAGGACAGTTAAATTCATTATTCAAAATTGATCCTGAGACAGTATTGAGTATATCCGCAAAGAAAGGATGGGGAGTAACAGATCTGTTAGAAGCCGTAATAACACGTATACCGCCTCCAAAAGTTGACATAAATGGTTATTTTAAAGCTCACATCATAGACACATGGCACGATAAATATAGAGGCATATTATGCTTAGCATACATTCATTCTGGGAAAATTCAAATTGGTCAGATGGTAAAATGGCAGTCGGATTCTAAACAACACTTGCTGAAGTATTTGGCCCTTTTAAGACCTAGTGAGGAGCCTATTGAAACAGCTGTGGCTGGACAAGTTGTAATGGTAGGTAAGTGTCAAATGTGCTTCTCATAAATAGAAAGGGAATATAATATAGCACTTATAAAATCGCTCATAATATAATATACATGGTAACAAGAATCATGTGTCTGTGACATTTTAGACATTACTTAAATACTATACGTATATGTGTAATAGATTGCCAAATATCATCTTCAGTTAATATGAATAAAAAATTTACATTAGTACAAATATTTCATTACCTGCAAACATTTTTATCATAAAATACTAGTAGAATGCTGAGCTAAATTTGTTCTTGTTATTGATTCAAAGACCGAATAACACAAAGAAAAGTTTCTTCGATCGCTCGTACCATATGAGCTACTGTGCTCGGTGTGGCAATGGCCGTTGGTTCGAGTCCATTCAGAACAAAGGATTTTTTTTCTGTTGTTGGATATTTGAATCAATAATAAAAAACATACACTTCAATTATTATTAATAACAAATTAGTCGGGTAATTTCATAAAAATAAACTAAAATCACTAGTCATTACCGTAAAACGTAGTAATATTCATTAATAATCAGTTTTCCAAATCTTAAAGCGACATCTCTTGTCAACATCTGGTAGCTGTAAACGTACCTGGTTGAGTGAGGAAAACCTTTTCATTGATTTGGACGAATTACCGTTTCAACCAAAAGAATACTTAATTTTCTTTGATATAAGGTTGATTTTCATTAACTGATCATGTATTTTCAACATTACATTTTGTACACCTGAATACTATAACTTTATAAAAGACGTCCAAGAGGCCTACTATGATCTCTTAGAGCAATCCTATTTAAGCCTGTAAATTGGATTGTCTGTCAAATTCGTACTATGACTTCACAAAAACAATTCACTGTCCATGCAGTTTACGTTCCCCATTCAAAATTCGTTCACCTTTTCTCTCATAGCAAAATCGTATCATAACGTGCCATTTGCCATGCAAATGGCGATCTCATCTGTAAAAATAAGCAATTTAAAAAAGTTACTCCGTGACTAACATTTTTTATATTTTGTTACATTTTTAAGAAATTTCGTTTAAGTTTAATTATATTTTCAGTTTCATAATTATTATACATCTGTCCATTTCTTTCAAATGATTTGGTACGTAGTTCCATCGCGCTCTTGTTAGATGTCAGCTAGCCAGGCAGAGACAATAATTAACGTTTAAAAAGTAAAACTAATCATCCAGTCATGCCATTCCCGTTCAACTTTGTGTAGGTCATGATACGAATTTAAGCAATTCAGTTTTACCACGTCAAGTGAATTGCATGGAACTTGGCTGCTTATAAGATCATAGTAGGCCCCCAGAACTATCATCATACTTATCTACTATTAATAAATATATTTTTTAATACAATAAAATAAAATGTTTTATAATCGCTTTGTAATAAACTTCACCAGGATGTGGCCCCAAAGGCGGTGGTAGTGTAGGAGATCAACTTCTCTCCATAGACGTGGCTGAAACCACTCATGTAGCTACAGTACCTCCCGTCCGACATATGGTCTACGCTGGCATCTTCCCTTCTGATCAATCGCAGCATAATATGTTGAGTGACGCTATAAAGAAGCTCGCCTTAAATGATTCGGCTGTTAGTGTTACCGCTGATTCCAGGTAATGATACTAACGCAAGTCTGCAATACCGCAAAAAATTTAGAAGCAGGTACTAACAAACGAATAAGAGATGTACCCCGTTTGTTTTCTTCAGCACGCACCGCTTCTGCAATAAAAGTCCAAATAATAACCTAACAAAATAGTTGTTAGGACAAACGAAGTAAACTATACTAAACCGTTATGCTATGCGGGCGCTGCCGCGCGGTGCGTTGCGTCGTTGTAACGCTGTGTAACCACAGAACACTATAATGACCTTAATGCCGCGTCACATCCCGGACCCTCCATACAAGGTCGAAAATTATTTACCTACTACTACTACGAAGTGAAGTGAACTGGCAGGATTACCCATCACTTTCTCGTACTAACGTTACGTGGTTAGAGCGGCAACATAGCGAAATTCTAACGCGAATCTATTATCTATAATTCTATTAATAGAATCACAGGTTTATTGGGTATTTATATCGATATGATTTTATATTTTTCATTAATTCACTGACTAGAATAATATTGAACACGCTTGTATGCGAAGTATTATGCACTTTTACCATCATAAATCAGTATTGGTGGTGTTTGCTTGCAAATAAACTATTTTCATTTCATTTAACGCAACGTCACCGCTCAGGCGTCGCAACACCAACTCAATGCATCGCGAGACGTCGTTCTTATTCGATATTGATTTTACTTATATTAACAGTTCTATAATAATAACTATATTATGCTACGTATGCAAACAACATTGGGTCGTATAATGACGAAGAAAAATATTTTAGGTAATACCTATCTACGCCTCATGCCTGTCTTCCATTGAGATAGGCAGATACCGTGAACCTTCACTCGATACGCACGATGAAACTCTTCGGATAATAATACAAATAAAAATTCTATTTTGTGGTTTTTTACAGCCCTGCTCTGGGTCAAGGTTGGCGCGTAGGTTTCCTAGGCCTATTGCATTTAGATGTATTCACACAACGATTGCTGCAGGAATATAAAGCTGAAGCCATATTGACTGCTCCGTCTGTACCTTATAAAATCAAGTAAGCATATAAATATAGTGCTATTCCTTTATGTGTCTGAAAATCAGTATATAGTAGTATTACGACTTGTTCGTCCCGTCACTTGATATAAAAAAATTACAAAATAAATATTTTTTCCGATATCCGTTTTTTGCATTTTAGTACTGCAGTTGTTATGTATGTGCGTGTCTGCTAGTGACAAATAACCGTTCGGTGTACAAATCAGGGTTGTTGCTGATCTAAGTTTTTTACACATCTGCGGACGCTGATTTTTGATCTGAATATCAGCGGATTAATGCGGATGCTTATTTTATGTATTTGAAAAAAACGCGAAAACTGTATGTCGCTTACTGATTCTTTCTACATGAAAAAGCTTTCTGTATTCTTTATTATTATATTATACATGGTGTAAATTTGAGACAGGGCAGCAAGGCCAGGTACCTTAATCGTTGTAGTTACAGGAAAACGGTTCTAGAAGACTATCCATGAATTTTTATTGGCATTCACAGATTTTGAAACACTCAACATAGCCCCGCACTAGGGAAACCCTGTGTAACGGGTGCCATGGACACAGTCATAGACAACCACGAATTACACCCAAACTCACGAGAGAAATAAATGTAGGCCATACAAACACTTTTCCCGGGCCGGGAATCGAACCTGGGCCCTCTGCGTGGCAGTCCGACATGGTAACTGTTCGGCCACGGAGGCAATTATTAATTGTAATTTCGCTACTTCGAATTTTAAATTATTATTGAATTGATATTCAATTATTATTTGTGAATTTACTCCACTAGTTTGTTATAACAATTAATACAAAGATTGAACACTTAGAAAAAAATCTTTCGATCCGACCAACTACTTTCATATATTTCTCATAGATGGCGCTACGACTAAAAAGTCGTTGAAAACCAAATACAAGGATCCGACAAACAAGCACATAGAGAAATTCGTGAGGTCCGCTGGTTCGTTCCGTGGCTTAGTTGGCATAGCGTCTGGCACGTCGGTTCGAATCCGGCCGAATCGAAGGAATTTTTTGTAACTATTCGATCTTTGTATTAACAAGGTACTTCGAATTGTTTACAGAGTGAAAGGTGCTAAAACAATTAAAGAGTTCAAAGGCGAAGAAGTTATAATCACAAATCCTTTACAACTGCCAGATCCGAACAACATAGCCGAATATTATGAACCATTCGTGATAGGTAACATTTAGTTTTTATATTTGACATTTGACAAGTTTAATAGAAAATGTGTGCAGAAGAACTCTTATCATGTGAGTATACTTCAGTGAATAAAGATCATTTGTTAATTCACATTTTGTGAAATGTTTGTAGTGGATTTGCGTTGTACTACAAAAATATAATAATTTGGATATTACAGTGCGGATAAATATTGAGCTTTATAAGTGATTTAAATTTAAATAAATAAAAATATCAAACGTGTCAATTGTCTTATCTTTATACTGCGATTCTTTTTAATACAACAGTTATTCAGACTCCTTATAAGGATATCATATATACTATAGTTTCACAAAGTCGTCCCTACCGCCTCCTAGTGGGCGCTGAAGAGTCCTAGGGGGGGGCTTCGCAAAAAAATGTTGGCGTTGTTGCTATCCAGGGGGTGCTTTTGAAAAAAAAACCTGTATTACTTATATAAACTACAATATATAATATATTTTTTTCTCTTGCCTAAGTGGGGGGTGAGCCAAAAAGTTTGGGAATGGTATATACCATCGTAACATATGTATAATGTAACAGACAGTACACATTTCATCTGCGGTATCTCATATCAATATTGAACAGTAATTGGGAGGAGTGCGTCCTTAGTGAGTTAGAGTGAGTAATTGAGAGGTACCGATTTACGGTAGACACAACCGTATATACGGTAGACACAACCGTATATACGGTATACGGTAGTGTCGCATAGAGGACCACCGTTGACCCAAAGATGTCTTCTCCTCCGAAATGGCAGAAGGTAAACAGAAGCATGGTGGTCAAATTCTCCGCTATAAGGAAGTACTCAAAAACTTACAAACGCTTATGCAGTTTATCTATCAGGTTGGATGACGTCCTCTTCACATAAGTCATCTTGGCGACCTACCGTAGTATAATGATCAATTTACAAGAATTATACATGCGTACCAATAAATAAATATAAGTAAAAATACAAGTATTGCTGAGTCACTTTTGTTGGATTTTTTTTACATTTTTATAGACAGTAGATCCTTGGTATAAAAAAAAACGCGTGGCATCCAAGTCTATACAAACGTAGCAGCGCGGCTTACATGTATGCATACTCGCCGCGCGCCGTGTACAGACGCACACATTCGCATAATAATGAAAGGCGATGAATTAAAGAGATGAACAAAGCGCTATGCAACGCGAGTGCATCGCGAAATTATGCGGATGTGTGCGTCCGTGCACGGTACGCGCGCACATATACAAGCTACGCTGCTACGTTTGTATAGACTTGGATGCCACACGTTTTCTTTTATACCAAGGATCTACTGTCTATAAAAATGTAAAAAAAATCCAACAAAAGTGACTCAACAATAAAACACCAAACACGTAAAAAGAGACCTAAGGCCTCCTATACTTTTAATTATGCGGACCAACTTTACTGCTTTATTTGTGACCGGACATTTAAAACAACATTCGGTATGGCGAGTCATATTAAGGCACACGCTAGGAACTTGTTTCGAAAGGTCACTGTTATCGAAATCGATAAAGAGGACTATTCGCATCTATCTTTTTAGTTTAAAGATCATCTAATGTACTTCGCATTACCTCCATGAATACTCTCCTGTTTTCAGGAACAATAATAACACCAGTGGAATTCATTGGGCCCGTAACCTCGCTCTGCATGGATCGCCGAGGCTCTCCGCTACCGTCCAACGCAGTCGATGACAAAATGACCATGATGCAGTTCGTACTGCCATTGTCAGAAGTTGTTATAGACTTCCATGACACTTTGAAGAGCATTACTTCAGGGTTTGCCAGTTTTGATTATCAGGATTACGGGTTTCATGCTAGTTCTTTAGTTAGGGTAAGTTTATTATATGTATTGTCACATTGTTATGATGCCTACTATTGCCATTATTCTTATTATATCTAGAGGTGGGCGTTTAAACGAAAAGCACTTAAAAAAAGTCTGCTCTTTAAAATAAGCGTATAAGCACCCTTTTCATTTTAAGCGTAAGCGTTAGTAACTGGTCAGTTCTATAGATACTCAATAATTTCATTTTTTACAACGTGCTTATGGGTCGTATTCTAGAACTCTACTCAATGCTCAAGTCAGGATTGCACTGGAAACACAAGCACTGGAAATATGACCCTAATGGCAGGGACTTAAGTATGATTTCGAGTGCTTTAAGGCATACTCAAATCCTGACTTGTGTATTGAGTAGAGTTCTAGAACCCTAAGTTTCAACTAGCGCCTTCTATGTTTCCTAACATTAAAGTCAATGTTTCCTAAACAAATTAATTCAACATAACGTTGCAAGCTTTTTTAAACATAAAGTCTATGCGCTTAAATGCTTTTCTAAACGACTTTTTAAGCGTCAAACTAAAAAGCGTTTTATGTGAAAATCGCTTTTACAAGCATGCTTTTTAAACGTAAGTTTTAACGTTAAAAAACTAAGCAGTTTTTTTCATTTCAGCGGTTAACAACTACAAAACTTTAAAAACTTATGTTTTTAAACGCCAATGAACAAAATATTAATATAATAATGTTATGTCATAAATAAAAATATAATTCGTTTTTTTACAAAAAAAAACTTGCTTATCTTAAAACTTTTAGTGGCCTACTCTTGCGTTTCGCTATCAACACAACAACGTTGCAATCTTTTTTTTAACATAAGTCTATGCGCTTAAATGTTTTCTAAACGATTTTGTTAGCTTCAAACTAAAAAGCGTTAATAGAAACACGGTTTTTTTTAAAAAGCATAACCGTTAAAAAAATAAGTAGTTTTTCCCATTTCTAATTATATCCCTTCTTAATGAACCTAATTCCCTTTAGTTTACTATCCCCTTCCTCCGAACTTAATACTTCCTATTTAAGTTAAAAAAAAACATGTGAGCTATCTAATCTATTTTATTTTATTTAAAATAACCCATTTTAAACCGGTTTATGTTATGAACCGATTTTGAAAAAATAATAAATATTCATTCCAGATGGACATTGTACTGAACGGCGTATTAGTAGACGAGCTCTCCACAATAGTACACACGAGTCGTTTAGAATACACTGCAAGGAGATTAACTGAGAAACTAAAGGAAATGATTCCACGGCAGATGGTTCAGGTAAACAGTACGAATTTATTGTATACGTTGTCTTTTTTTATTGACTTCAAAAAAAAGGAGGAGATTGTCAATTCGACTGTATTTTTTGTGTCCCTATCTACCGACCCGAGAGATAGGGTATTCCAGAGAGACTATGGGCTCGACGGCAAGACTAAGGTACAGCGGGCGTCCGGGCCAAGCCCTCCGCCATGATACGTCTTCACGGGCATCTTTGGTGGACCTAGACTTGGGTATGGGTTTGTGGTGAGCTGCAGAGACGGACATGTTCGTCTGTCCTGGTAGCATGTGGCCGGGGCTCCTGTCTCATGCGCAGCTAGCACGTCTTAGTAGCAGCGGTCTAGTTGAACGCCTGAAGCGAGGAGATCCGCGGGACACGTGAGTTGCCCTTTAAGTTGGAAGCTATGTCCGAACATTGTCGCAAGACACTGCGACTGGAATCTTCGGCACTAGCCTGGAGAGCTAGTACCCAGAGGATAAGCCAGATATCCTGCAGTCCCACCAACCGCTTAGGTTATTGGGAACTGGAGAGACGTCGTTTTTCGGCGTCGGGAAGTGAGCGTGCCATCAACTCCGCCACCAATGAAGAGATTTGGTATTGGACGCAGAGTCTACAGATTAGCGGTGGCAACCGCTAGCTGTGCAATGCGCAACGGGAAGTGAGCGTATTTACAGCTCCGGTACCTATCTAGAAAATAGGGAGCATACTGTACGTGCACCCGGGGCGTCTTTATAAGTTCTTTATAAGAACTTTATAAGTTCAGAACCTGAACTTATAAAGTTCCTTTGCGCGCATGGGTTATAATGCCCTTCTCGTATACCTTAAGGGTCGGTACGGTAGGGAGGGTCACTATAATCAAAACTAGTGTAGAAAGATATGGGGCTGTATTTTTTGTGTGTATCTTACGTGATCATTTCCTTCATTTGTGAAGCGATTTTGTTGATTCTTTTTTACGGGGTTACGTCAAACCGCCCAAAGGTACCCTTGGGAGGTTCAACGTAACTTCACTTATGCCATTCTTCCATGAGAGGTGCGATTAAATATTCTATTATAAGGGTGACAAATTAGGGGATGAATCCAGTACATTGAATTTCACCCACTTTCCGTTAATCGATTTCAATAAAACTTGACAAATGGATGTACTTAATTCCACAAAGTCGGAAATGGATTTTTTTTCCATAAAAAACTTATTATGTATTTTTTTAAAAAGGGTAACAATACTCTAGAAATAGATCATGCCAATCGGGCCTTTATGTCATGTTTCCGATGACTAACAAAAAAGACAAAAAGGATAAATCTTGGAGATAAGCAGCTGTGTCTCCCTGTATGTCAGATTGCAGCTAGATTGCTTAGGCCATTCAGCAAGTAGAATGTAAGCATTGCGGTAAATTGTCTTCACTTGAGCAGTCTTATTTACTTATTATCATTCATATCATATACAGCCTGACTTCACCCACTGCTGGGTATAGGCCTCCAAGTTTCTGTGCTACTCCCCACGGTCCCGCACTAATCTCATCCAGGTTCGCCCCGCAATTCCTGCTATGTCTTCCGTCCATCTTCCAACTTATTAACACAAAAATTCCTTCGATCTGACTGGATCCAAACCAGCGTCTGTTGCCACACCGGAGCCACCGCACTTACTAGTCGACTCAGTTTGTAAGAACGGTAGCCTCGGTGTGGCAACAGATGCTGGTTCTGGTCCAGCCAGATCGAAGGAATTTTTCGTCAGTTTTAGTGACGACGTGTTTTATCGCATCACAGCATTAATTTATCAATGTACAGATTTTAGTGCTGGGGCAGGTAAGAATCTGGCATTGTCATTTAAGTCGTGTTGCAAGCCGTGCAGCGAATGTATAGCTGGACTAGGATTGTCCTCATTCAATGAGTTAGGTAATATAGCCGCCATGAAAGTGTCCCATTGTTCCAGGTGGCCATCCAAGCTGTAGTCGGCGGCAAAGTATGCGCAAGGGAAACTTTAAAAGCTTATAGGAAAGATGTTACGGCTAAACTGGTAAGTAGCCTAAGTTGAACACGAGCAACAGCTCAAAAAATGCGAGCGACGTTTCCAAAAATTCCTTGTCGTTTGCACGAGCACAAAATATGTTCGTACGTCACCTTGGGCGCGTTCGCATTATATCATGACGACACAGATAGTCTTGCAGTTTAAAGTGTCGTGACTTGTATATTTAAATGAAGTTGTTCACACATAGACACGATTAACACGATTAACTGTCATTCACGACTTTTTTGAGTTACGACGGCAGACTGTTGTGACAATGGGAAGAACTAGAACGATAGTCGACTGACGATAAATAAAACGTCACGATAAAAATGTGACGATAGATAATCGCAGCTTCAAATAATTCTGTCGTGCAAACGACAAAGTGGCTGCCGTGAACAGATCAAATGTCGTCACAATGTAGTGGGAACAGCTACACGACAGTCGTTCAACGATAAAATAAACGCCCATGACACAGTAACGACAGATTGTCGTGGTATGGGAACAGGCTAGACCTTAGTTGTCCAACGATAAATAAAACGTTACGACATAATGAGAACGCGCCCTTAGAGTGATAACTTCCCATATGTATTTTTACATAGATTGTCTTTATTGATTTTTGTTGAAACAAAACTTATAAAGCTCTTGCTAAAATATATCATTTAAGTTAATAGCATCTAAAAGAGGTATTTCATAGATTCAGTATTATTATTGTCATTATTAAGTCAAAAGAACGACACTTGTTATTAGGGTTCCACTAAACTAGTCGACGGGGAATCGGCTTAAGGAGTCGCCACATTTATTCACACGTAATCGTCTTGAGCCTGTCAAAAAATAAAGATAACAATAATAATAACGTACACGATCAACATAGCCCCGCACTAGGGAAATCCCGTGTCGCGGGTGCCATGGACACATACATAGACAACCACAAATTACACCCAAATTCACGAGAGAAATAAATGTTGGCCATACAATTTTTTTTTATCCAAATGTAAGTGCGCATTTGACCTCAATCTCACCTGATGGAAAGTGACATTGAGGTCGACGGTGGAGCATGCACTAAATATTGCCTATTCACTTTCGCTTGGAAAAGGTCCAAGTTATAACGGTCAGGGAACAAGTCTGCAGGCTTTTTTCCAATTTTTTCAATTCCACTCCATAGCTGTTCGCCATATAAATGTGGAACCGTAACGCTTCGTGCGAATCTTCGGAATATCCACAACATTACACTGTCCGTGATATATCCTGTAAAATACCGATAAGTCTTTACGGCGGTGTTCAAGGATCTGCAACTTAGCCTCCACTAATTCCGAGTCACCTATAAGCCTCTTGGCACGGTTGTCAATCGAATCCAAGGTAGCCAGTTGATGTGTAGCAAAGCCATCCCAAAGGTGACAGCGGTATTCGATGCACGACCGGACTTGTGCTTGGTGCAGATGACGTTGTGCGTTTTACGTAAAGCGAACCAGGTTAATGCGAGTCCGTGCCGTTAGGTGTAGTGACTCCCTAAACCGATTGTAATACCGCTGAAGAATTGATTCGTATTTATTTATTTATCTTATTGCAATAATCAAAAGGTTCTTTAGTATCTCTGACCGCCGTAAGCTCCACACTCAAACTCCACTTCGGGTAGTGCAGCACAATCGCTAAATTAAAAGCGATCACATAATACCCGCGTTGCGTCCCAACTAAAGGTCCTAATAAAATAGGTAGGTAGGACCATTTTAATCGTAAGGACATAAAGTTCTCAAGTGCTCATAACCGTATTACCCTACAGTGAATGCCTTGATACCTCTTTATTTTGTTTTCAGTACGGTGGTGACGTAACCCGAAGAAAGAAGCTATTGAAACAGCAAGCAGAAGGCAAGAAGAAAATGCGAAGTGTAGCCAATATTAAAATACCGAGAAACACTTTTATTGATGTATTGAAAAGATAGGACACATTAGAAAATAAATTATTTAAAAAATATTTTTGACTATTTTATTGCAATTGTGGGGCACCGAACTTATAACCCACAGTTAGAAATTTTTTTATGTCTGTATAATAAGACCAAAAGGCGAACGATTCACGTCGTTGGCGATCTGAAGCAAAGCAAAACGCGCAACGCCTTTCGCATGTATTGCATGGACAAAGCTTTTGTCTGACCGGCTCGAGCCGATTGCGCGTGTATGGTGTCTCCCTTATGAGTTCAACGATTAAACAGCATAACGAGAGAAGTAACCAACATTCAGGAGGTGTAATAAATTAAACAAAAGTATTGGAAAAATATACCTAATTTATTTATAAAAATGCGGATTACAATAGGGTCATTGCATGGTTAACATCACAATATGAAAAATTGATTTGTAAAGCAAATATTCTACAACTCAATAAGTTATTTACTATGTCTGTGACTAAATACGTTTATAAAATTAAAGGATATTAACACAATTTCAACTTTATTATAAAGGTTCATGCCTCATAAAATATATTCCAATTAATTATGTATTTTACATAACGTCTATATAAGAATTCGCTTGGCAAGTAAATATGTTGACAGTCAAGGGTCTTACACGCAGGATTAAAAATAAATTTATGATTATATTTCTGAACGAAACTAAACTACAAATGAAAGTATGTAAATAGATAGGGCTTACTTATATACAGAGCCGCGTACAGGCGACATTTGTTTATATTCTTTTCTCTCGTATTACATCAAAACCAAGTACGAAAAAGAACAGTGGTGTTGAATATAATAATTAGAGCCTTGTTATATTAGCGCTTTTAACGCGGTGTTAATAAAAAGATCTTTATAAATTCTATGAAATATTTAAATCAAGTATGGCTTTACTGTCGCTTGTTCGATAGTGTGAACAATACCTCTACCACGAGTTTTTGGTATTGACATTAGCTGATGTTACGCGGACACCAGCAAATGTCAATACCAAAAACTCATCAATATATCGTCAATTTCGGATGGAAAATTGTATAGCGGTCACACATCAGTCACAAGAATAAAATTGCTCGGTCGACAACGACAATCGACATAATAAGCACATGGTAGACGCCCAAGTCCATACCGTTCGATTTAACCAAATAAGATTTAAATTTGCCTAAGGAACTCGTTTAGATAATCATGAGTATAGTAGGTGTACTTCTTGTCATAGGACAAGTATTATTTATAGTAAGTATTCGTATAGACGAACTTAATTAAAAACCATAGACATTTTTGAGAGTTGGTTTTTTTTAGCAGCTATTGCACAAAGTTATAATACAAATTACAAACAAATTAGGTTCAAACGAATTAAGTAAACAAGTTTCAGAAGAATGGTAATTAGTTAATCACTTGTTTCATGTCGAATGTTATTATAGTTAAATATTGAAAACATACCTACTATATTATCCTTTAGAATGACTTTACTCGTCAACGTCATAACATTTGTCTAAGCATTATATTTTTAAATTTTAAGCTGGGAATCTAATCGAAACTTGTCATTGGTGACGTTCGCCATAATTTATTTACGGAATGTTTTTTTTTAATGGGACAGTATGGGGAAATCCGAAACCATAGAAGATACAAGGAAACTGTCTTAGGAACTATTACCATTAAAAAAAAACACTGTATTATTTTTACAAACTTCAAAATCCTAAAAAAAGCCACCGCCAATAATAAAAGAAGAATTTTAAAGCTATAATTTTAAAGTAAAATTTGACGAATTGTTAAGTCATGGAACAAAAGTTGTTGTCTAAAATGTTAGTGATATAGTCTTGCGAGGATATCAGTATTTTACAAATAACCCTGTCTGTAAGTTACAGAATTGCAAAAAAGAAGTATAGTTTCTTGTTTCAAATTGCTAACAGGACTTTGACAACGACTACCGAGTTCAAATTTTGTAGAACAAATATTATTTTTTATTGACGAGCAAAATCAATCAATTAAAGAGAATTTTATTATTTTTCGTCCAGTTTTTTTTTTAGTTAAACATTAGTTCCAAACGTGATATGATTTTCTTTGGCAAAACTTGAACTTTTTTTTTTTAACTTTCGCATACAATTCAACAAAGTACCTATAACAATTATCGTAACTTAAAATTACCCTTCCCATATTTTGGAATTTTTATTTTTTTACAATCAAATAATCAGTCACATAGATAATGATTTGCACTATATGAAATATATTTTCTTCTAAAGCAGTAGTTTTGTGATACAATAAGTAACTTTTAAAATAAAAGTAACATGGGTAAACTACAGATATTTTAGAAATAATAATCTTAACTAGTAAAATCAAGACTCATAACATAATTTCCATCATTCTTGAACGACAATTGCCATCGAGTAAATTGAACGAAAAGATCGTTTAAATAGTGGGAAATAAGACAAAATAAGAATTGGGTCCCATTCATTGGCGAACATGTTTATAGGATGCATTTAGAATAAGTATGCGACGAAATATTACAATTTCATTCCGCCTTCCCCTTTTCATTTCCATAGAACAAGACGTTGGTTGCGGTCACATCCTTATGTTGTAGATATAGCGGCAGCAAAAGAGCAGCGCTCTCTGGGTACCTCTACTATTCCCTCATAAATACTCCGTTAGCCTTTTCAAGGCGAAATTGAAAAGGCACCCCCTAAGCAAACATGTTAACTCGACTACATCGTCACTTGACTACAATTAAGAATTAAAAAAAACATTATTCAACATGTTTGCCAAGAATGATATCAGCCTGAATATCGTTGAACATTTTTACGTTAAATGTCCGACGACATGCCGGGCGATCAAAGGATACAATTTGGAGATATTGGCTAACCCAATTATTTCGAACATATCGGCTAACACGGTCCGAACTACGGACGGTCCACTATAGTCTGCTTACTATAAGAACAGCTCTGTTAGATGACATTTTAAACAACAATAAGAATTAAGCATAGAAATAAAATATCACTAAAGATATTTCTTCACACAAGTTTAAGCCTCAAAACATGTCTTAGGTTGTTTTATTTCTTTGTGTGGAATTAATAGCCATTGTGTGCTGTCAGACCTTTCCTTATGCTCTGGCCACACAGATGCGACCGCGGAAGCGTTTCGGGGGCGGGAATTTTTGAAATGTACGAGTTCATGTGAATCCTGCCACGCGGAAACAGACGGTGCGGTGCGGGGCCGAACGGCATGATAAACAGGCAGAGTGAGCGCGGCCCGGGCCCGTGGCGAACGCGGGGCGGGTGAGGCCGCGGGTGTTGTAATACATTAAGTTCTATGCAACCGTCCACACAGAGCGTCAGTGACGGGGCGCGGTCCGGCAGCGGGACATTAGCGGGGCTTCAGCGGGCTTGGATGTTGCATTTTTTTACAACTGTGGAATGTGATTCAAAGTCAAAGTCAAATAATCATTTATTCCATAGGTAAAATTTTTACACTTGAAAACGTCATTTTTTAAGCTACTTTTTACGCTACCGCTCGTTCACTACGCTGATCTCCCTGAGAAGAATGAGCAAGAAACTGTAGGGATAGCTCTTTTTAAACAAACTTAAATGCTATGGAATACACTTTGAATGATAATTGTATGGAATCTAGACTCTTGTTGTCTTTCCATACTTCTTTATCTAAAACATACCCTTCAATTTTGTAATATGACTTTTCAATTAAAATATTTTTAATGTATGTTTTAAACTTATCATAACCTTAATATATAATCTTATTGTAAAAAATTAATTCCACCGAAAAACTTATATCATTGGTGCAATCATACCCCAGTTTAATTATTACAAGTGATAGAAGTAAATTATTTGGAAAATTATTTCCGAGGAGCCAAATCAAAGTCGTGAGTATACTACTTTTTACCTTATTGTACCACTAGGCCCACGACTTGTTCATCCCGTCATTTGATATCGTAAAAAAAAGAAAACTTGTATAACTAATAGCAGTATGTGTCTGTCCAAAGCGAAGTACTAGGAATGTGGAACTTTCGCAGGATTAGCGCTAATAAAGAAAAAAGCGCTAAAAAAGAAGAAGTTCTTCTTCATCACTATCACATGGTGCTTTCTTTATCTGTGTTGAAAACTTAGAGGATGGAAAAAGAAGTTGAAAATGAAGTGTGGCGTGACGCTTTTGGTGTCACACCGGCCGCCTTCGCGCCGCTGTCCAGCCGCGAATTACACGGGAGACTGCTGTGTGGCACGCCCTGGCACGCATTCGCTTCCCGCAGGTCCGCTCCCGGAACGCTTTTACCGTTATACCGACGTAACTTTAAAAGTAACCGTACTATAACAAAATTATAAATTCGGCGAAAAGAACAGCTATACAAAACCCGATGAACAATAGATTCTTGGTAGTGTATACCCGCCAGTCAAGGTACCTTAGTTGCAATTAACTTGTTTATAATCGATCTAACGGTCCAATCGAGACGATGGTGATAAACGTTACTTAACATTTAGAATTCAGTTACACTGACAACAAAATGTTCAACCTGAGATCAAAAGACTAAACACATACCAGATACACCACGCAACATTTACTTAGCAGGGAAAGTGAAATTGCTTTAAGTCACGTGACATAATGTAGACAGCGCGTTTGTCTTCACGATCTGTCGTTTAAAACTGATCGACACGATCGATTGAAACGTGGAATAGCCTGTTTATTTCCTTATTTTAGGGTGAGATTTGGTCGGCGCCGTACTCGTAATCTGCACAATCATACACGATACCAGAATTTAAGACGATCACGCCAATTTAGTACTAATACAAAAATTATTGCCACATTTAACGTAAAGATGTCCGTGGCCCAACAACGCGTTACACATTCGCACGTTACATATATAAATAATATGATTGGCATTTTGTTTTGTTACTTAACGTCACTTCTATTTTACGTTATCAAAATACCAATACTACAAACGAGATGTTCTATATAAATATAATAAATTTTCATATTTGTACATTGACTTACAAATAAATGGACGACAGGTCCAATACAAAAACCACGAAAAAAATGTCCCAAGTCAACCTATTTAAACGTAGTGACATGTAAAGGAATATGAAAAAGCTAAAATGTTGAATTTAAACTGTAATGTCATCGCAGTTCTGTCTAATTTTGCTTGCTTCGCTGTCAGTCGAACAAACGAAGACTAAAGCGTGAATGACGTTCTGTATACGATTTTAACGCCCTATAAGTTCGGACACTTTTTAGCGCGGACCCGACGTCCATATAATTGTAAGTCAATGTATTTGTAATATTGTTTTTGTATGGCCAAAAATCGAGATTAGACCATAAGATTTTAGTAATCATTGTATGTAGGTCGCTAATCTATTACGCATTTCCGTAGATTACATTCAAGCTGATGGGCCTAACCATATTCATAGTTTTAGTTCGGGTACGACGTCTATCCTGCTCTCTCACATAACATCAAAATATGCCAAGAAGAGTAAAGTTCACAGCGTGGACACCGAATACAGGTCCACTTTGTTAAGCGATCTATAAAATACCTAAACAGTGACATATTTTTGCTTCAATACTAATGAAGTTGTCTCAATCATTATTAGAATCTTTCCAAGATCCAATTAATTGTCAATTCATTTATTCAAGTAAGTCCGGTTAACACACAAATATGTGGATGTCAAGAAGTTATAAGGCTACTATTGCTAATGTCACTAGAGAGCAAGTGAGATACTTACTATATTAAATACTATGCTTTGATTTATACAAGTTGCAATGAAAAGGTGTGACCAATATTGTTGGCAACTGTACTTATTACTTGTAATAAACTGAAAAATATTGACTTTAACCAAGTTAGCCTATCAAGATACATGATGGAATCAATCACAACATAATTAAATTCGTTACTTAAAACGGTTGCTGCAATCATGTGCTTGACAAGCTCAGAACATATTGCACGGAAATAAGTTATATGATTATTGTAAACAACATCTTATTTATTTCAATCAAAACGTTTTTTTTCCAAGTAACAAATTTTAAGGAAGACTATTGTACGCTTGCGGAAAAAAAATTGATACTGGTTTTGAAACAAATTTCCGATTGAGGAAACATTTTGAAGGTAGATTTTTATAAATATAATTTTACAACATATGTTTGTTATCTAGGGCACTGACGAGTTGAAATTAGTCACATCTTTTAGTTACACCGAGTATAGTGTGACTGTATAAGTTTGTACACGGCTCAGGTAAAGCGCAGTGAGGGGCTGGAGTAGCATTTCCCTTCACTTTGTCAATCCTCTGTCGCCGTCAACACAGACAGCAGGAAAAATTTGCTTGTTTGTTGAAAAGTAGTGGGGAAACAGAAAGGAGGGGAAATATTGTTTCCGCCTTTCTTAAAGCAAGCACAAGATTAGTACATATTTTGAAAAAGGCCTAATTAGTAAACCAATATGTCTTATAACAATATCTTTAAAAAAATTAGACATATCCTCACATTTCTGTCATAAAGAATTTTATTTAAAATAAATTTATTTTTATTCACGTTTTAATTAGGTCTAAATAACACAACTATAATGAAGTGAAAATAGTGCAAATAGGACAATGCTCAAGCTTCAAACGCAAGAACTCATGTAATAATAACGAATAAAAGGTTTGTTTACTTTCAGGTCTTATTTTTTTAAAAGTACTGCCACATAGTAGGTCCCCTTACTCTATGGTCTCTAGTGAAGATGATAATAGCAACCCTCACTATATCAATGTATCAAATAGAAATTAGTATATTACCTGGATTACTAATTTCTTGAAAATCTCTTCCTTAATGTCATAGAAATTTTGAAAATAGTACACATTTATCTATCTTCAGATGTCTCCAGAAATTGGGCGTAGACGTCTCTGTTGCATTCTCCTTTTTCGTTAAACTTGTATTTGTAGTAGGAGCCGTCGGCGCAAATAACTGTAAGTAATAATTAATTGAAAAATAAACAAGCTCCAAGAATACTCAAATCACAGTATAGTAAGTTTTTTTTTTTTAAATAAAATATGAGTGCATATTTGACCTCCATCTCACCTGATGGAAAGAGTGATGATGAGGTCGACGATGGAGCATGTAAGTAGTTGAAATATTAAAAATATATATATTTTTTTATTCTTCTTATGGCAACTTTATCTAACTCAAATTGAGGGAAACTCTGGTTTTACTTCAAAACGCATACCAAATTGAGGGATAATTCGGCCTGTATTCAGTTTAATATCATGAAACAAATGTTCGCACTTATTTTACAATAAAAACCAGTCAATTGATTATAGAAACAACAAATAACACGAGATTTATCCTTCCGATAAGCGACACTAACATTTGTCAGTGCATGCTTTCTCAGAAAAAATTTTTTTGGACGATACAAGTTGTTAAAGATGGCGAAAAATATTTAAACAATTTCTACGAAACGTTATAAATCGACCAATCCCGCGTAAAAAAACAAATATGGAATATGGAATAGGTGGAAATTTGAGACGGGTCAGCAAGATCACCCGGCTTAACCATCATAGCCACAAGAAAAAAATCGTAGAAAACTGTCCATGAATTTTGAAGATATTTAGATTGGCATTAACAAATTCTGAAAAATGGTACAGTCGGCAAGATAAAAGGTAATTGTCACGAAACTTTTTTCATGCTAGTCGTTCCTATATTTGGTAAGGATCAAAAGTCGCTATGGGAGCAACTGAAACAAGACACATACAGTAGTACTGTACTATACTAAGTAACTCTCAGAAACCGCAGACTTCACATTTTAGTACTACAAACAACTACAAAATAATAAAGAAATAATAATAGTTTTCCATCAAAAAAAGAAGCTGGCCACTACAAATTTAATCAGATTAAGTAATTACCAGTCAAAATATTATGCAATCAAAATGTACTTTTTTTAAATTTCGAACAGTTCTATTTTGTTTACTTGTTTAATGTATTGTTTTGGTAACATTAATGTCAAATTTAAATTGATATTTATACACGTAATCATTATGTTAAAAATAAATTTGTAGGTATGTTATAATTAAAAACATCTTTATTTCATAAGTAAGCATTGCATTTGTCAAATTTATTGAATATTACGCATTCGTAAGGCAGATTTCCCTGAAAAGCAAAAGGAAATTTATGTAGGTTGCTCTTTGTAAATTGACATTTGTTCACATTTATTATTTACGGTAATTATTCAAAAATTTAAGTAGAAGCAGTTAAAAGAATGGGTACGTCCAAGGCTCTTGTGGGCCTTCGCAGCGTAACACGCATATCAATAATTCTACTTCATTTTGTGAGGAATATGGCGGCTATCATCCTCAGACACAGAGACGACAACACTCGGAGACGAATTCTAGGCTTAATATTAAGTTCATTGAATGTTTTTCTGCCATGATATTCAATTCCTTTTTGTGAAATTACTCCAGTAGTTTGTTATAATTATAATACAAAGATGGAACACAAAGAAAAATCTTCAATCCGGCTACGCATGAACCTTGCGACCTTGCCATATCATCGCTGAATGAATGTCCGCAATGAACATTCAGTGTCTCATAAATTAAGTAAATTCAGCAGACAAACTCTTATTATTTATAAATTAACCATGAGTCCAGACAGATACTTTCCCAGATGTCAAAGAGAATATTTTTCAGGTGAATCAATGTGTGTATGTGTGTGTAAATTCGTAAATATCTTTATGTTACGCTTCACATAATACGACCGCTGCCTGTTGTAATTTTTTAATGAGATACCAGACAGTATTTAAATATAAATAGTGTCAGTGTTCTAACGCTATTCGCATAGTACAGTAACCTTGGCAAATAGTTAATAATTAACATACATATATTATGTGCTCAATGAAGCAATTAAGATTTTTTTATAAAAGACAAAGTTACAAATAAAGACATAGATTTCTACATATTGGGTAAGATGTTTCAATATTGCCCCTTCCTTTCACGAAACATAGCAGAAGAAAACCATATCAATTTAATTCATTCTACAGCTTCAGCATGCCTAGGGTTGCTTAGGTATGCCGCGACATAATTGCCGTCATTGTGCGCTTGCATGTAGTGATGTCAAAGGATCCCCTGCCCTCCCGTCTCGTCAGTGAGCGCCGGGCCTCAAGGTGCTGGTGAACTTACCGGTAAAAGTAACTTGTCAACTTCTGTCTCAAGGTGACGGGTGCAATGATAGTGCCTTCAGGTCTTTGTGAGTTAAAGCTCTGCGTAGCACTGCAAATCTTTGAACAGGTGTCGCGCTTACCACCAGGCGCATGACTAATTCGTCCCGTCACTTGGTATTATAAAAGAAAACTTAAAAGATACATACCAATAATAGAACTTTTGTCCACACCAAACGCGCAAATACACGGTGGCCCATTAGGTATTGTAAACTTGCAGAAACTCCAGTTGCTAGAGAAATACTTTGGCAAAAAGTTGACAGTGGCCAAACTTGATTGTTTATTTAATTTTTCATCTTCCAAGCTAAAAACGTGAACAGTCCCGTGGTCTGATGTCACACATAGGTTAGTGCTACTGTGATTAAAATTTATGCAGTAGATTGTAGCCTGTAAATTAATACAAAAGAAATACAATTTAAGTCTCTTAGTACCCCTCATAGTTTATTTTAAATGTTATTTTATTTGCGATTAGCCACCAAGCCATAAGCAAATTCTGTGAAAGAGCGGCCAGTGTTGCAACTCCCAACTTTAGGACATGGCGTCACTTAAGTGGCTTGAACGTAGTTAATTAGTCTAATAGTTCCGTGATGAGTAGGCATGGGTGGCAGGGTAAACGTTCTTTGTGTTTACATTTCTGTTGGTTATCTCAGCAGCTACTTAGTATATAGTAGACATTTCATATAATTAAAATTTTATTTGGTCCATAAAAGTTTTTGTCTCAAATTGTTACATTTACAAAACCTGAAGGCTTTGAAGCAATACGGCCAGAATGATTCTATTATTTATTGCACTTTTTTCATTTAAAATATCAGAATTAAAAAAAAATTATGACTGTTAATTAACTATCAGATTTGGGGTGTTACAGAAATAAGGTGTTACAGTTACCAAATGGATTTTTCTATACAAAAAATTTATTCACCTGATGAGCGCCCCTTCTTAATTCAGCGAGTTTCTGTCCAGTAGTTGTGTCAAACACTCTAATGAGAGTGCCTTTAGTGGAAGCTGTGGCTAGCCTAGTGCCACCCACATTAAGCGCGAGGCAGCTCAGTGGAGCCTCATGAGCTGTGATCAGATGACCTTCTGGGGTCGTACTGGAGCTTGCATGACTCGATAGCTCTACTAGCTGTTAAGACAAGATTAATAATAATCAGAAGAATTATTAACACACCAACAAAATTAAAAAGGTTTCTTGTTTAATTAGAAACAAATATTAATTAAAAAAACATTAAATATTTCAAATTTTATTCCTTCTTTCACTTTCAGTTCATTCTCATTTAAGGTGCTTTTTTTTATCTTGTGTGATGTGATTTGTTGTTACTTCCAAACAAATTCAAATAAACAAATCATTCAGAGTTTTCAAAATATAAACAAATATGTTAATTAATTTATCAGTTCTGTACAAATATCTATATTAGCCTCAATAAAACAAATAGAACTTTTATTAGCTGTAATAAAATCAAAAGTCAAAGCCACTGACCTGCACATGTCCAGTTTTCCGACTGGGATAAGCAAGCAGGGCATTATTGCTATTAGGGCACACTACGCACAGTCCGCGTGGGTTCTGGCAGGTCTCAAAGACGTGTAACAACTGAGGCTGGGCCGTGAATGTGTACACTTTTATCAAGTTTTCTGCAAATGTAAGCATGATAAGGTGCAACACAATGACTGACCAGTGAAACATATACATAGAGTATGTTCTACGTTTATTAATATACATCATATAAATTCTATATATGATGAAAAATATACTGTTCAAAAAATTTCTTGTTCAATTTTCTTAAAATCAGTTTGGTTTCCTAAAAACCCAATTTTATATTCATTAATGAATGTGTATACATAGATCCGGTAAATTGCCCAAATTTTTGATCTCTAAAATCTATGCTAGCCATTTATTACAGTACTTTCAGAAATTTACAGTTTGTGTTCCATTTTCTATAAATGAAATTATAGAAACAAAAAATTTGCTTTTTTTATTACATAAACTACAAAGATATTCACTAAACAATAAGACTGTAATCAGAGATGAAAAAAGATAAAAATATTACTCACCCAAAACAACAACAATTCGGTCTCTCCTAAGTTTCACAGCTTTTACCGGGCTGTTGAAGTCAAGTGATATCGCTGAGTCCTTTTTCAAGTCGTCCCAAATTATTACTCTATTCGGAGGGTACACAGGCGTTTTTCCACCACCTACCAACGCCATATAGTTGCACCGAAACAGCATTTCTACATACGACAGTCCACCCTCAGCGAAATTTTGCCTCTCTTTTTCTTTCAACGGATCGCTATTAAACACACGAAACCCATTCTCCGTTCCGCAAGCGAAACAACCTGAAGAAATTGCGAAACAAATTGTATAACAGTAAATAGATCAATTGTAAACCGAAACAACACCTTCACGCCATCACCTTGCGAAGTTACCTTGATCTTGGTTGAATCCCACGTAGAGTAAACCGTTACCGAAGCTATTCTCCTCCGACAAATTCATTTTTAAAAACTGAACACTGTATTTTTACACAAAAGCAAAACAATAATAAAGAAAAATCTAATTCAACATCATACCAAACGAGACAACTTTGCGGCAATTTGACAGACCGAATGACATGACATTCACATGACATGACATGATAGATGGACGATTGGGGAAAGAAAGAGACGGAAAAAGATATATTTTTTTCTAAAATCACTTAACACTTCTGAGTATTGGCTATAGAGCCACCAATTTTAACAGGTAACAAATTATAATGATTATTTTAAAAACTCAAAACGTACTAATACGTAAACTAAAAATTTAAAGTATTTATAAACTGTAACTTTAAACTAAAACCACTGACCTCTTTCAGTAGAGGACAATAACTAAAATCAACCATTTTTTCACTAAAATCAGGAAGAAATATCAGTATAATATTAATATTTTCTTAATTAGTTTGTGTCACAACAAAAATAAATTCGTTACAAAATTGTCAACTATATAAAATATTGTTTTCGAACATTCTATTTTAAATGATTAGATGAGTTTTTTCCCTGGAAATAGGAAATCCTAATACATTATTTTATAACCGGACCGGATGTGAAGTCGCAACCAACCAACGCACTAATTTATTAAACTTTGGTTCCATTCCATAACAAAAATCTGTTGGTTTTGATCACCTACTTATTACTATATTGCTTGAAACCATATGCTTGAAACGTTACGTACACCACCACAACATTACACATCATTACTGTATTTACATCTCCAGGTAGTTCGTAAAAAATTACCAAATATCAGTCCGATGCATGATTAAGTATTATTTATTATTATAACCAAGTATTATGAATGCAATTACGGAAGAAACAACAAAACGCAATTAGATCACTGGCACGAAACGCAGTCATTTTATTCTGTGTGCCTTAGAGGATGGAAAAAAATAAAAGAAAAAATAAATAAAGTCCATTTCACGAAAGAAGTCCCGCAGACGCAACGCTGTATTCGCGCGACATAATGTTGCCACGGTTAAATATGGGGAAATCAGGGGAAATAATTTATAGTTCATTTACTTTCATTTTATTAACTGAGTACTCGAATAGTTAAAAAAAAATGTTTTTAATAGAATGTATTTTTAAAATAAGTACCTATTTGATATCCATACTGCTAAGGTCAGATTAGTGAAAAATAAATCTTCCTGTAATTTCTAAAATATAAAATGGAGATATTCGACCAACTTTAAATTAGAAAATAAAATAACATTTAAAACTTTTATTCAAATTTTTATTGAATAATTATGATCATGATCACTGTCAGAAGAGTGAATAGAAACAGAATCAGATTCTGTTTCACTATCACTAGCCGTGGATATAATAAATCGATCCATTTCTTCATCCATAAGACCATCATTTTTTAAATATTCTTCCTCCAAATGCTGTACATGTTTACATTGAACTGCCCAATCTTCCGCTGTAACTGTCTCAAAAGCCTCTTCTGTTAGGCGTACAATTTCTTTTGGATCTTGGCCCACGTTTTTATCCGCTACCCGTCTCTTTACAAGGCTCCACATTTTTTCGATCGGATTGAGATCGCAGTGGTAAGGCGGCAATCTTAGCAATTCATGATTGTGAGATTTTAATAATGCATCCACGGCATATGTAGGTGGACCCTTGTTTTGTTTAATTAATTCAAATAATACAGCTTTTGTCCAAGTATCTTCAAAATATACTCCCTTTTCTCGCAGCCATTCCTGCATGTCACGTTTAATACTTGACATTGTAGGTGCTTTATTTATTTGAGTGCAGTGATACGGAGCGTTGTCCATTACCACAAGCGACCTTTCAGGTAGGTTAGGAATGACTTTTTCACTCATCCATTTCAAAAAATTAGTCGAGTTCATGTCATCATGGTAATCTGAGGATTTGGATTGGGATTTGAACATTAACAATGCACCATTAACAAAACCATTTTCAGTTCCCGCATGAGCAATTATCCAACGACTCCCCGATGACTCTGACACGAACATCCCAGGCTCCTCCTCACTTTGCCAGCAACTTTTGGCATGATAAGTGTTGTGTATATAGGTCTCGTCTAAATATACTACAGGTTTTTTCTCCACATTGCGATTTCTTCGTATTCTCTCCAAATATCTTGAACGCCATGCAGTAATATCATAACGTTCCATTAGTAATTTACGTTTCGATTGGCATCGCTTATGCTTGAAACCCATGCTATGCAATATACGGTGCAATGTTGTGATGCTTCCTTGATAATTTATGTCTTCTCTCAAAGCTGCACGTAATTTAGGCAATGTAGGTAATTCCTTCTTCACAACATAAAAACTGTGAATTTTTTGACGAATAGCGCACAAATCAAATCCATCCAAGTCGATCTTTTTGGGATGCGGGCGGCTCTTCCCTGGGGTGACGATAATTTTATGGCGCATCCACACATGCCGCCGGGTTTCAGACCGCCTTGCCGCTGAAAGCAGGCCGCCGGCTTTACCGGCGGCCTGCAGATGCGGTTGCAATTTTCGCAGTAGTGTTGTTAAATTATGTTATATATGAATACGACTACACTACCACTCCGTATCGAAGCCGCAAGCAAACTGCCGCCGGCAACCAAAAGCCGCGCGTGTCGCGGCTGAGATGCGGCAAATGCCGGCGGCACGGCCGCCGGCCATGCCGCAGGGCATGTGTGGATGCGCCATTAGAAGTACTCGCCGCTGTTGCGCCTTCTTTTGTAACTCTCGTTACAGTTTTCTCTGACACACCTGCAATAAAAAGAACAATTAAAAAAAAAATTCAAACAATGATTATTTTCGTGTTTAATTACATTATTGTTGAATATAACTTTACAAATTTTTGTTGTGTTGTGTTAATTCCTTTTCAAATTTTCCTTAATAAAAATCGTGCATTAAAAAAAACTTAATTCCAATCCGTAAATCAATCGGGAAAAAATCTGTATATGGCAGCCCCAAAATTTACCTGTCATGGCGGCGACTCTTTTGCGAACATTGTTTATTGGTATTAAAACACCGTGATTCTTATGTTCCGCTTCACAGAACTCCTTCACCTTTAATATCATTTCTCGACCTGCACTTTTTACAACTTTTGGCATCGTAAATAAACCTCATAACGCACTAATCCAATAATAAACTCACTAAATGTCTACCACAACAAACACACCTTGATAACATCGACAAACGACAACATGGCCGATCTCCCCATCTGTCAAATTTAGTTCCACAATTGTCCGCGGGACTTCTTTCGTGAAATGGACTTTAAATTTGATTTATAAACCAAACTCAAACTAACCATGAAAGTCGACTTTCGTTAGCAAGTGTGAAAGTCTACTATTGCAGTGACGCATTTTTCGTATCTATAGTTTAGACTCGGACTCAAACTTTTTTTCCATCCTCTAAAGGTGGATTCACAATGAACGATTCTGGCAATATTTTGCCGCAATTTATCGCGTTCCACGATATGACCTTGAGTTGACCAATTAGGAGCTAAGGTCGCAGCACCTAATTGGTCAACTTAAAGTCATGTCGCGCAACGCGATAAATTGCGGCAATATATTACCAGAATTTGTGCAATGTGAATCCTCCTTTAGACGTTGTCACACCAGCGGCAGCGCAGCGAGCGCGAACTAGACGCCACTAGGCGCTGCTAGACATCGAGTATCTGCTATATAAAATCTTTGGAGGATGGAAAAAATCAGACACCACTCTATTTTTGACAGCCCGTTTTTCTGTACAACTACTATAGAAAGTCTTGTCGAAAAAAGAGACAACGCAATACAAACGAATGTATATTCTGTATTACTTGTATTTTACATTTAGTTTAAATATTTACACAAACAAGCGAGAAGTCGCTGGATTATTGACGAAGTAACAAGCGATATTGTTGCGTCTTATTATCTGGATTTATCCAATTATAAAACTATTTCTTACTTATATAACGTAAAGTAACTTACACTAAAATGGTATGCGTCAGTATTACATATAATAACAAGTGAATAGTAAATGAAACGTAATTTATACCTATATACATAATGTTACAGATTCCGCATTACTTACTTTGGAAGAAATTACAAAGCAAACACTTCATTGTTCCTGTAAAAGCAGAGTGGGACTCTTTTAGAGGAGCGCAGAGGTAATTGCACCATAACTGTATATACTATACATATTCAAATGCAGAAGTTTCACAGATAAAGTGGACGTAGTTAAGCAAAAAGGATCTAATCCACAAAATTAGCAAAAAATGAGTTATATGTACCAAACGGTTCCTAAAATCTAACCTCTTAGATCAGCAAAAAAATCCAACATAATGGCAATAGCATAAATTGGTATCTCTGGAGTTACATGACATAATAAGTTTTGAAAATAAAACAACAGTGAGAAACATTTTTAAATCAAACTGTCATATTTTGAAAGTGACTGGATGTGCATTGGATCCTTTTTGTTCAGCTATGTCCAAGATTGATATTAAAAAATTCACAATTTTTAAATCGTTTCACTTTTAGAGAGTCTGAGTATGTAGACCGTATGATCTGCAGAGTCTGCATGAGCCCAGCTGATATACCGATAACAGAGAAAATTGATGACTTAAGCATTTTAGGTGCTATACGAGCTGTTGCCAACATATGGGTCAGTGTTTTACATTGATTAGCTTTTATTATTGTGATTATGATTAGCAACTAGCTTTTACTTTAAAAAATATTTTTAATCATATTCTGGGTCATAGTCTTCAAAATTAGCACAATATGTTAACAAAATTAAAAAAGAAATAACACATTTTTTTTTAAATCAAGTGACGGGACGAATTAGTCATGTGCCTGATGGTAAGTGACATGCCTGTCCATAATAGTTGCAATGCCACTCGGAGCTTTAAATCGTAAAGATCTGAAGGGCACTGCCACTGCACCCGTTATCATGAGACATAGGTTGACAAGTCCCATGTGCCTATACAGAAATAGGTAAGGTGGCAGTCCTTCTCTGGACAAACTCTTTCACAAGGAGCTCTACTGCTACTAATCTTTTGTGGTACTGTATTAAATTCTTAGTTTTGATTTCCAGATAAATGAAACTGATGGCTACCCAAAATACATATGCATGATTTGTTTAGAAGAGTTGAAGACAGCACTGATGTTCAAAAGGAAATGTGAAAATTCAGATAGAAAATTTCGGAAATCATTACCAGAGGAAACTATATTTGGTATAATTCTTATATCTCTTATGCTTCTTGTGCCAACTACCTATACATCATAGTATCATCATACATTCTCTGCCACTATTATTGTTATTATACTGAAAGTTTTAGCCTAAAAGTTTAAAATATATTAATATTAAATATCTAATTGATCATTGAAGCTATCAGTGCCAAAGTGGTAAAGCCCGCATTTAATTTCCATTAAATACTACAATATTACTTTAAATGATACTAAAGTATATCATTTTGACTTAAATACCTTTTTCATGTTTAAAAAACATTTAATAATTTAATAATATAACATTTAATAATATGATTACTATATTATGTAAAATGTAACAGTAGAGCTCCTTGCGAAAGAATACATATAGATAAATAAATAAAGAGTAACATCTCTCTTGCCAAGCAGTAGTGTGAGCATTATTGCGTTCCAGTTGTGAAGAGGGTGCTGGTGAAATGACAGGCACATGAGACTTACCAAGTTAGTGTCAGGGTGATAAGTGACAAGTGCAATGATAAGTGCAGAAGAAGTGCATCTTTGTGTTTTAAAGTTCTGAGTGGCACTGCAACTGTTATGGAAAGGCGTGTTGCTTACCATCAGGCGCACAACTTGTTTGTACCATCACTTGCTATCATAAAAAAATATATAAAATTAATTTGGCTAATTTTAAATTTTTCATCTATATATATATAGATACATGCATTCCATGGGTTTACATCACTTTGGCGCTGATAGCTGCGGTTATACGTAATTGTGCAGCAGAAGATCTACATAGTACTATATAGAGCTGTACCTATGCATATATCACATCCTTATGGTTCAACCCATCAACAAAGTTTTTACTTTATTTACTGCAATAATTAAAATTAAAACACAAGAAATAAAACAGTACCACTGACTGCAGTAAATTTATTTATTTATATAATAAAGTTTTATTCAAGTAAGCCTGACTCACAAGCACTTTTGAATACTCAAAATCACACAAGAGATTACAAAAAAAGACAAGTCAAGTAAATAAAACAATTCATACAAAATGGTAAGTAGGTAACAAAACGATATAATATTAACTCCAAGCATTTTTATCGTTCATATACTCATCGACAGTATTAGTAGTTCCCTTTCGCCAGAAGTTTATTTTTAACATATATCTTAAACTTATAAAATGGTAAATATGCAATTTCAGTCGGTATTTTGTTGAAATATGTAATTCCTTGTCCCATAAAAGAATTACGAACTTTTTGCAATCAGGATGATACCATTTTTAAAACTTGTACGGCAAAATATCAGTTCTCTCTTCTCAACATCTTCGGTGGAAATGGTCGGAATTTACGAGGATGGGCGAGACGAGATTTGAAATATTTGTTGATGTAACATTAAACCATATTGCTGCCTACATAGACTTTTTGTTGACTCTGCAACGGAAACACGATTCACGATGTCCGCGAGCTCGCACGTGCTCGCGATGGCTATTAATGTCAATTGCGAGATTGTGGTATACAGTCGCGTGCATTGAAATGTAAACGTTCACACATTTTCGAAATTATGTAAATATTAGATATTTCAAAAAATGTGCCTTGTGCTTTTTTCAAAAATATGTAATCAGGACACCGTTTTAAAGAAGGTATACTTATATTTCAGAGAAAAATAAACAACAATGTAAGTATATGTAAAACAAGTCAATGTAAAGTATATAGCGCTGGTGTCGTACATGTATCCATATCAGTGTCGTAAATATTTATACAATGCAAATTATATATTTATAATTGCATTAAAATGTACACGATTAGAATCGTGATTTTATCATAATTATGTAATCACTTTTAAAACTTTGCATCGTTTTCAGAAATATATACACACATTATAGTTGCAATATAATGTAAACATACCAGCGCCAGTTGTAAACTTTTTATGTGTATTTTGCTAGTTTTGCCCTGGGATAAAAGATTATAAAAAAAAGTTGTTTTCGAAAAAGTTCTTTTTATTTTTATTTATTTTACCTTAGAGGGTACAAACAGCTTATATTATAACATGATTATTTCTTCGCTATTTTCATCTGATTCTTCTTCCGTTAACACATTTAATAATAAGAATTTGCGGGACATGGTACTTTAGCTTCGTGTTTATCGCTAGACGAATTTAACAGTACTTTCGAGGTTGCGAGTGCTCGCAATGGCAATTTTTGGTGGAAATGGGTCGGCGAGATTTCAATTCTCGCATCGCCTCGTCTCGTCTCTCCTCGCCGATGGAAAAACACTTTATTAGTGCATATACTTAGCCTTTAAATTACTTAGCCGTTAAATAATTATACTTAGCCTTTACAAGACGAGATATCTGGCTTCAGATCAAGGTCTTGAGCATTCAAAAACCTGATAACAGCATACACTGCTGCTTAACACTGAAAATAACCTCTGGCACTGGGCAGAAAAGGTATTAGAATGCTGACACTCTTGTCTTGCCTTGTGCACTGTTGCTGCCGCTTGATAAAAACTTTTGAAGCGAGTCCTTGAACTTCTTTAATGTTGTTGGCCTTGGCTCTGAATTGTATTTAGTGGTGATCACAATAGATCAGTTAATGGTTGCAGTGATGAAAGGCTGCGTAGACCCTGAACGAAGCCGCACTAATAATAATAATGTACCATTGCTGGAGAATTATGCCTCTGCCATTTAAAAATTCAAAATTAAACTTTCTAAAACAGATATCCAAAATAATAATAATAGCCTCTGATTTAATAGAGCGCGAATTGAAGTACACGGTTTGTTTTGTACTTTTTTTAGTCTACTATCTCAATTAGGTACATACACTCAATCACTTTTACAATAAATGTGTCAACAAATAATATGATCATTTTACACGTACCAGTTGTTTTGTGTAAAATTTTCATGGTATCTAATTGATACCTCCCGCGTAAGTTGTTGTAAGCGACAACATAGTTTTTTTAATAATTTAAATATAACCTTTTTTATACCAACGGTTTTCTAGAATAGTGGCCTATCTCAAAAGCATCTAAATCACCAAGATGTTTTAAAAAACCTGAGACATGTTTATTCCGCAACACTGACATATCGACCGTGAACTGGCAACCTCACTATCATATTTTGACAATTTTACAGGTGAAGAAAATAATTGTTCGCGTCATTTATATAGCATCTGGTTAGAAGTTAGTACAAGTTGAATGAAGGCGATTCTGGCGCCAAAATTAAATGTATCTGAGATGGATTTCTTGCAATGTTGCGTAGTATGAAATAGTATAAAATGGTATTAAAAAGTGAAATCTTTAGAAAATTAAAATAGTATACCGGTGGCCAGTTCACAGTCGATATCGTGAATCATCTCGGCGTTGTCATGTGATTATTTTAATTTTAAAAAGTTCAGTATCCCATTCACAGAAAAATTTAGCATTTTCTGAACAAATCTCAATAATTAGCATTGATTGATTGCTTTTCCTGTTTAAAAGTATTAAACATGGAATCTATAATATACATAAAAAATAATGTATTATTCAAGTTAAAAAGTTAAAAATTGCTATTTTCGTGGCTTACAGCAACTTATGTGAGAGGTATACCTCCCATACAGTATATCACCAATTTCTGTAATATAAAATGTGATACCACTTTATACATCAAACCCTTTTACATTTTTCTGTATTTTTTTATATTGATGTCAAACGCGTGACATATTTAATAATTATACAAATTTAAGGTGGCGACAGCTTATATGAAAAGAAACAAACAACATTATTTCTTTCTTTAATTTACAAAGTTTTGGTATATATCGTTTATGTATTCTTCCAGCAAGCAGTACACCTTCAATTATCTACCACGATTTTGCACAAATTATACAAGATATGCGAGACAGAATTAACCGAAGGGTAGCTAAGAGAGTGGTTAAAGAAAAGCCTAAACCAGCTGTTAAGAAAAAATATATAATACAAGAGCCCAGTAGGGTTTATAAATGTAAAAGGTGTGATGTAGTGTTTGACACTAAGGTATGTTAGATGCTACGTAAGTTTACTTGGAAATATGTGAGTCTTCAAAAGTTGTATAAGCGGCATCTGCCCTTTTTAAAAGTGTCCCATCACAACATTTTAGTGCATAGTTTCCCAAAGTGGTCCCTACAAAGAAGAGTCCTAGGGGCGATAGGGGCCTAGGCAGCAACTGGGGGGCGATGATGCTGTCCAGGGAGTGCTACCGCATTAAAAAAAAACCTGAATTATCTACATAAAACAATATATTTTCTTTTCTTTGTGTTTTTTGTTTGTTAATATAAAAAATACGTGTTTTCAATGATTTTTTGTGGTGGTGGGCGTTGAAATTTTTTTATATTGCTTAAATGGGCGGTGAGCTAATAAGTCTGGTAGCCTATGATTTAGTGTCTAACTTGCACAACATACCAATTCAACAAATGTAGTGCATAAATATGATATATGTACCTGTTTATTTTACGCTTGTACGAAGTCTTTTCCAAAGGTATCCGACCTTCGTTCGTTATTCAGATTAAAAATCCGCTCAAAGGGCGTAGGTTTAACGACTCCGAGACGATTAAAAAATATGCGACGAGTGCACCGAAGGCTGACTTCCATAACTCCTTCGGAATGTGGAAGCACCGGTGGGAGCGTGTCGTTCAGTCGAATGGAGATTACTTTGAAGGATGCCACGAGTCCGATTATGATTAATAGACCTAGGTCAGAATAACGGACAAAGGACGCGTGCTTTTGGGAGAGATTTCGTACAATCATAAGATAAACAGGTACATATATCATAAATATTAGGGGTTAAAGTATGAAATTGCCGTTTCGCACTGAAAAATTAAAACAATTTTTTTTAAGATTAAATAATATATTTGTTTAATCAAAGTTTTTTCCCTTGTTGTCTATACATTTCTGCCATGTAATCGGAAGGTCATTTAAACCTTTGCGATAGAAGTCTGGAGACCTGGACTCCACAGCTGTGTGAAGGGATTTTTGTACTGCTTCCTGGGAATTTTATTTCCATACAAAAAAAAATCAAATTGCGGGAAAAAATGGTAGTCGGTCGGGGCGAGGTCCGACGAATATGTAGGATGATGGATAATTTATATCTGCAGGTCTTGTAGTAGTAAAACTGTTTCTCAAGCAGTGTGAGGTGTTGCGTTATCATAGAGCAATAACGGTGAAGCTGTTTTGCTGCGAGTTCCGTCGTCATTATTCAAACGCCATATGTCATATTGTGGGTATGCTAACATTAAACCATGACGTTTCGTGGTAGTTTGATACGGATCGGCTTCCATCATTACCTTCAATTCAACGTTATTTACATTTGTGACTGGTTTTCTTCGTGGTTCTTTCTTCAAGTCGTAATTTGCCGTATTGCCGGCGTTTGCCGTATTTGCGTATGCCGTATCCTCTCCAAATACAGCATTGACAGTTTCTGCTACGTTAACTCCATGTGGAAATTCGTATTCGAAAATTAGGTACTCAGATTTTCGCTGTATCTGTCTTCACGTTAAAAGCTGAATGTAAAAACAATTGAAAGTCGAACAATCAAATATACAAATCAAACTGCTCATTATTTACTACCTATTTTCTACTATTTAGTACCTTTATTACATATTTTCTACCTTTGCGCTAACGGAAGTATTAAAGAAATAAAGTGGCCAGCCATTCTGACGTCAGGTTGGCTGGACCAGTTTACGTAT